AAGATGCTACATTTTATGTTGTACACATTTTATCACAATTTTATAATTCTGGAATCCCTTTCATTTATATAGAAAAAATAGAATTGTTGCAGGGACTTGAATATTTGCAGTTGTATAACTAACCTAATATTTCTTGGTGACAGAGAGACAAAGCTAAATCATAAATAGAAGGATGCCTTGAGGCCATAGACTTTAAACAAGGGGAGCGAATGAGTTGGATGTTTAGGGAATCAGCTAAAAATAAGGCACCAGTCTCAGAGTGGAGACAGGCTTGTCTGACGGACCAGCACAAGCATTCTGAGCTCAGGACTCCCTGTACTTACTTAAACAATAAGAGCAGACTTGCCAAGGGGCTTGGCAAAGATTCCTTCCAGCTGGATCTGCCAAAACCTGCCTGGTTTTCTTTTTTGTATCTAAGACTAACCAATCTTTTTTGGATTAACCCCACCTAATCTTTCTTTAGTGATGCAAATATATTTAATTAGATCACAGTCAAATCTTTCAAATCCAGAAAGTATTCTGCTTAAAGTGACCTTACAGATGAGAGCAAAGATTATTGATTTCACTTCAAAGAATCTCATATTTTCTCTTATTTAAGAGGTTTCAGGGATGTTTTATGGTGCAGCCCAGGTATTAAAATTTATAGACCTTACTTACTTGATAGTAAATAAAATATTTAGTTGGAACCAGAGTGTGGTTTGTTTTTGTTTGTTTTCTGTATTCTATGCTGGTATCTAGGAAGGTCATCTATACCTAGGAGCCACCAATCATGATATGAAATAATGAGAATTATTGAGAGATCTGAAACAGAGAGCATAGGACCAGAAAAAGAAAACAGAAATTAAGTGTGAGATAAAGAACAATGGAAAAGCACAAAATAACAGCATGCATGCTCTAAAGCACATGAGTACAATATTGCTACTATTATCAAGTGCCATTTGTCACCAACTCATTGATAAGACAGAACTGAGCTTATTGCTTGTCATGATAAGGGAGAGCACCAACTCTGCAGAGCCTTGTGTCCCCAACACAGAAGTCAGGCAGATATTCCAATGTGGCACTTGATTAAGATGGGTGACCATCATGATAGTTTAAGGTTGCTAAAAAAAAAAAAAAAAAAAAAACACAAAGTGAGCATTTCTAAGGGAGAAATTCAAAGAGTCTTGAGATAGAAATCATCTATTGAAAAGTTCATAGGACTTAAAAACAGCATACTACGGGGGACACAGCCACATCAATGTTTACAGCAGCACAATTCACAATAGCTAAACTGTGGAACCAACCTAGATGCCCTTTAATAGATGAATGGTTTAAGAAAATGTGGCACATATACACAATGGAATATTACTCTGCAATAAAAGATAATGAAATCATGGCATTTGCAGGTAAATGGATGGAGTTAGAGAAGATAATGCTAAGTGAAGTTAGCCAATCCCCAAAAAACCAAATGCTGAATGTTTTCTTTCGTATAAGGAGGCTGATTCATAGTTGCATAGGGAGAGGGAGCATGGGAGGAATGGATGAACTCTAGATAGGGCACAGGAGTTGGAGGGAAGGGAGGGGGCATGGGGTAATTAATGATGGTGGAACATGATAATCATTACTATCCAAAGTACAAGTATGAAGACATGAATTGGTGTGAATATACTATGTATATACAACCAGAGGTAAGAAAAATTGTGCTCTGTATGTGTAATAAGAATTGTAATGCAAAAAAAAAAGAGTCTCTTGGATACAAAACTATTCCAATGAATACTGCTACTCAGTATTCATTGTGAACATGGCCCCTAAACAGTGTGGGACAAGTGGGTCTTTGTTCTTAGTACAATCTGTACATTATATAAAATGCAAAATATCTTATCGACTGCTTTGTTAAACAGCTCCAGAGAGCACCATCCACTCTCTAATCTGTGTAAATAATGCTCCTGGATTATTCAGTGCAACAGACCTATTATATTCCCATTACCTAATGTAATATATTTAGTCTGGGGTATAAGAAACAATACAATACATTATATATGATATGAATTGTACCTCCTACACAGCATATAACATTTATGATAAGGAGGAAGCAGTAGAATGCTTTCACAATTTACACAATGTTGCTCCACACATTTTGATTTTTTGTTTGCTTTTTTTTTTCATAAAAAGGTGCATTTGTCAGATAAGAACTGATTCAATCAAGACCTTTTTGAGGTCCCAACCTCCAGCAAAGTGCTTGACCCACACTAGGCCATCAAGAAACATAAAATGCTAAATACCATTAACCTACCTCTCAATGCACCCGACATCCATTGACATGTTTTTGTAGCAGTGTGACTAGGAAGTTGGCTTGTAGTTGCTTCACCTCATTTGGGGGTGTTGAGAGGTCTGTGAAGTTCAGCAGCTATCTTCCCCTTGCTAAGGCTATGATACCCCTCCCTGGGGTTCACCCAGCCACAGAGACCCAAGGACATCCTGAAGGAGGGAGCCCAGCGGGATGTGGGAAGGAAGGTGCACTCCAGCCCCTCTGCTGAGAGTTCAGCCTCTGCAAAGCCGAAGGACCGCTGGCTCAGAGGGATAGAGTGCACCATTTGCCCAGAACAGAGCACAAGACACAGACAGAAGCAGGAGATCCTGACAGGTTATTTATTAGGGAGACTCTTATGTCAAAGGTTGGGCTTGATCCTGGGAGAAAGGGAAAGGCTTTGAAAAGGGGCTTTAGGCTAAAGACAAACTTAATAAGATTAATGTTTTAGGAAGGTCCCTTTGCTTGAGGTAAAGGACGCTTATGACAAGAAGCAATCCAAGTAGGAGATGCTAACCCATATTTGGCAGGATTCCCTCACACGTCCTCTGGTGCCATACATACCTTGGTATAGGATTAGCATCAAAGGAATTCTGGCTCCACATGTGGAGCTCCAAGATATTGACATGTACTGAGTGTTGCAGGTAGACTGCAGGGAGAAAAGGTTACTGAGTAAAACAGAATTCTGCTCCCCAAGTCCCCACTAGACACAGTTCTTCTGCTTTTTTTTCCTAAGCTTTCAGCTAATTCCATCACGATCCTAGATCCTGCTTGCATCTCCTCTGAGCCACCCAACTCCACCCTCTACTTGCATTTGTCACTGTGCGAAACAAGAGACAAGTACCTTAATATCTATGGCTTATGAGCTTGTGCCCAGAAATCAGAAATGGCCTGTTTAACCCACTAGAACAAGGACATGCACTTAGGTAGCTGCTGGGTGGATGGGGAAAATGGGTAAATAGTGTGCAGACAAAACCAGCAGGAAAAGGGACAAGCAAAATTGACTCCTGAGTCCAGGGCCCTAAGTCAGGTTCTCACTAATTTTGACTTGGATTTCTATCGCATTTGCCTCATTGCAGTCCTTCTCCCTAGTTTCTACCCAAATGTATCAAATGGATGGCAGCAAACCTGTCTCTCTTCATGTTACTGCTACTTGAGAGCTCAGCCTCCTTCGCATGGTCTGTGAGGCCCTTTTGTGAGAGTTCTTGTCTGTAAGGAGACTCCTCTCCCACTACACCCTCATGGGACTACATTCAGTAGAATAGCTAAGGCTTAAGGAATGAGTTTTGTTTCCGTGCCGTCTTCTCTCATTCATACACTGTTTTACACAACTTCTGCTGGCTTTTGCAGATTCCCAATCAAAAGCCTCCCTTCCTCCAAACCATTTTCACACCCACTCCAGGTGCTGCCCAGCCCTTTCCCTTTGTGGAATGCAGAGATTCTTGTCCCTATTACCTTACACACCTGTTACAGTACAAATTCTCTTGTTTTCTAATTAACCCCTTCTTCCCACCTAGACTGTAAGCTCTTTGAGAACAAGGACTATAATTTTTCCACCTTTGGATACTTGGCATCCAGCCTGGAATCTGCTCACAAAATCTAATTGAGGAATGAATAAATACCAGTACTTAAACCAAGATTCAGGTCTAGAATTTTCCACCCTAAATTCAGTGCTTTTTCTCATTATGTCACAGTTTAAGATCCTCACATCATGGCAGAGGACCAAATAACTTCACACTATCAGAGGATAGATTTTTTTTATTCTTCTTCCAGCACTGTGAGAAACAAATTGGTAATTAAATGGGTAAGTCAACATGGTTATCAAGAGACTATACTATTAAGCCTACACTGCCTCCTTTCAAAATGTTTAATTCCCACCTACTTTGAAAGATAGTTAAAAATTTTAGTCCTAAAATTAGCAGCATGACATAGTATCCTTCCTTGTATTTAATTGTCGTAGTCTGGCTAGGCACAAAATCACAAGCCACTCAAGCAGGAACAAACTTTATTTTTTGAAACTGCCGCCAATGCCCCATACGCCCCCCGGGAAGAATCCCGATCACCCACGAGGCCTTCCCCTGAACCCCACAGGAAGTTCCTCCCCCAGAATTCCCTCCTACTGTACTTCCCCAACCAATGGGAACTCTCCAGGAGTCCTAGCAGGCCAAGATGAACAGCAGGAGTCCAATATCCATATGAATGCAAATCTTAACATAATCATATCATCTCAATGGCTAGCTGGCGTCACCTTTCAACCAAAAATGCCATGCATCATATTACTTGGCTGTGGCTCTTAGCATTTAATTGCAAATTTAAGAATATTCAAAAGAGCTATTTTTAAGCAAACACATTCATATCATATCCATTGGTAAATGCCCTTCAGTATACAGAAGCAATTTTTCCAATTAAAATTCTTATTTTTTCATATTCTCTTTCTTGCTACGAGAGGACCTAGAACATAAAAAAGAGTAGAATGAAAATCTGTCAGTATGGTTGCCTTTTTCTTTCCATAATTAGCAGCCAAATATTTCATTGATTGAGGAAAAAAAAGTGAAAATGGTAATAACATGCTCTCATAAATGTTTCAACATTATCTTTGTGGTATGGGATTCTATAAGGAAGAATATCAGTATAGCAATTTTAAATAGTAATAATCTAACCCATGAAGGTTTTATTTAAAGGTCTCTCCCCAAAGAGTACTAAAATCAACAGGTCAAGAAAACTTTAACAATGTATTTATTGGAAACGAACCAGACATTACATTAACCGGATGAAGATGTAAAATGCATGGAGCATAACTGGTGGGACATTTTTAAAAATCACAAATGAGAAAGAAAATTCATTTTCAAAAGAAAACACTGTATCCAAGTCACCTTAATCTCTGAACACCATAATATAACTCATAATGCTGGCATTAAACATCCAGAATAAAGTTTACTTTAAACTGAATAACAAAAAAAAAAGCTTTCCTCCCCCAACTTGAAGACTTCTTGGCTATCACTTGTATCGCCACACCCATAAGGCAATTTGTTTCACCATAGAGTGAGATGATATTTGTCATATTCTTTTTTTAATTTTTTTTTGGTTGTAAATGAACATAATATCTTTATTTTTATTTATTTTTATATGGTGCTGAGGATCAAACCCAGGGCCTCACATGTGCAAGGCAAGCGCTCTACCACTCACTGAGCTACTACCCCAGCCCATGTCATATTACTCTTGATAGGGGAAAATTTAAAAAAAAAAAAAAAAAAAAAAAAAAACCTTCTAAAGAGAGATTTTCAGGAAATCTTGTTATTAGTCAATTGTTGGTCCCCAAGTGAATGGGGCACCTAGAATCAGCATTTTCTAGAACCTAGAAGAGATATTAACTTGACTTACTAAAACAAGTCATTGTCTTTTAAGAAACCGCTGAGATTCAATGGCAGGCTGATCTTCAACAAGAATCCTACTTTCACCGTTTCCAGCGGTAAGAGGGTCTCATGTGTGTCTGTCATCTGTTCATGGCGATTTTCTGAAACCTTGAGAGCTTTACTCTTGAACTCTGTAATACATTTCAGCTTGTGTATAACAAACTGTCTTTGAAGAAAATTACCCCCAAATAATCCATCTGTAAAAATCAAAGTGCTGCAAAAAGCAGTGCCGATAAATAGTTTGGAAAGGCAAAAAAACTGCACTGATTTTCAGAGGCACTATCGTAAAATCCTCTCTGAAAGGGAGAATTGCACGTGTACTTTGAAAAACGACTTCCCTTCCGTATACCCAGCATGCATGAATGTCTTCTAATGAGCTATTTGCAGGCAGCGGAAGCTGGGAGTCCAAATCAGAATTGTAGGTTTAGGTTGGGCTGGGTGCCACTTTCCCCTTTCCTCCCAGTGGATTTCAACAGTTTTTCCTAAACATTTCACAGTTCTCCTCAAGTTTTCCATGAAAGGGAAAGATGATTAATAGCTTATTAGATTCTGTCAATTGGCCAAAAAAAAAAAAAAAAAAGTATCTCAACATAGTATGTCCCCTTTAGGAAAAATCAATCATAATTGCATTTCCTTATCCTAAAATTGAAGGTCAAAAGAACTAAATTGTGGGCTTTTAATAGCCAATCTGTGTCACTTGGTTACTGGGGTACCAAGTAATTGTTGACAACTGCAGAAGTCATTTAAATAAAAAGGTAGAAAGCTAACCCAGACAATTTAGATCCTAAATTATATTTTCAAGGCCTGATATTTTCAGTCTGAGTCATAATGCTGGTCTTATTTGCTAAAAAATTAGCAACATTCTTTTTTACCTTGAGCTGGGCAGACTCAGCCACGATGTCCTGCTTTCTCCTTATTTGTGGTCTAAAGCAAAGCCTCACCAGACTCAAAATACATGAAGATGTAACATGCTCATTGGCACAAAGCAGGCAGGACGAAAAGGCCCCACCTTCCCAAAACACTCACTACAGCATGACTGGCAACCACTCATTTTCCGCATTCAGACAATGTCAGTAGAATTTAGGACAGGTACACACGAAGGTACATAAACGTTTCCACCTTCCCACCATTGCGTGAAACATGCTGTTCTTTGGAGAAAAAAAATACATTCATTTTTTTCAAGTATATTTCAATATACAAAGACGCTCTAGCTTTGTTTCACTAAAAAGACAAAAAGACTTCACATGTGTCCAAGGGAAATTTCACTTGAACTTCCCTTTGGTGTGGATTTCATGAAGTTCTGACTAAAAAAAAAAAAAAAATGCTCTAAATATATGTCTACTCATTTTATTTGAAAGTATGAACTCTTTAGATCCATTTCATATGTTATGTACAGAGTTCAGCAACAAGAGTGTCTGTGTCCATGTACAACGGCTTGGGAGGGGCGTGCTCTGATGAGAGCGAGGGCCACTTGCTGGCGGGCTCAGCACCAGCGCCGGGTGGTTCACCCAGCTTCAGTGTCCAGCTTGGGCCAGCAGCGCACGGGCTCCTCCTCTCTAATAGGCTAAGGAGCACTTTGTGCTGAGACAGCACGTCTTGGATTATGGCTTATTTCCTGCCTTGGCTTTGTTGTTCGGGTTGCAGTTTAGTTCTTTCAGCAGTGTTTCGCAGTTGGCCAGAGCATCGGCCGGCAGCAGCTTCCGGATCTGCTCCACTGTCTTTTGATAAGCTATTTTTTCTTGTTCCAGGGTCCGGATTAAAGTCTTCATTTTGGTCTCTCTAGTTAAAAGATTTTCCAGGTTTGATTCCAAGGCTTGAATTTTAGCATGAGCCACCTGTTTGGAGCGGAGGGAGGAATAAAATTATCCAAGTGAAAAATGTAAAGAATCTAGGTCTTAATGACAGCAGCAGCCAGGCCCCCTGTCTGTAGTAATCACTGATATAAAATCACTTAGTAAAATTTTATGTGAAGTGTGTAAAAAGGATATTTTTAGATTGCTCAAAAATATAACTATTATACTAATAGGACTGATGTTTTCTCACTGATTATTCTAATAATGCAATACTAAATCATCACCCCACAATGCTGGGGTCCTCACTCCAGGCCCACTGGGGTTCCCTGCAGGAGTGGGGTCTGGCCTGGCTGAATGCGAAATGGGATTCTTGAAACCATCCTCCAGTGCTCAAAGAAGCTTTCTGCCCTCTCACGGGACATGCAGGTTCTTGAAACACATACTTGGGATTCCAGCAGTTTTTATGGTGTACTCAAGAAACTTAGAGACGACTACGTGGAAGTGTCAGAGAAAAAGTCTGAAACAACTAAGAGCAAGCTTTAACTTAGATTAAGTGCCAGCTAGCTTTCCCCAGCTAGGAAATGCTCAATTTGTCATGGTTGAAATATCTGAATAAAATAAGGGACGAGATGCCAATTGTTGTTTTTGTTTTAAATACACCATGTTGGCTCATTTTTGAATAGGAAAAATGATCAAAGTTTCTATGGGCCAGAGCTGATGTGAGATACAATGAGGGAAACTAGGTGTTCCTATTCTAGGGGAGAAACTACTGTAGAAACCCCTTGTTTCTAACCTATTTCCCTCCCAGCTGAATTTAAGAGGGGACTCACCAAATGGAAGCAGGGTTTGAGAGTCTTTCTAGGTTGGAGGCAGGGTAAATGGCAGGGCAGAAAAGGGGTGTGGGTGGACAGAAGTCAAGGAGCCATGAGGCACTTAAGCTCTAACTCAGAGCTCACCTCCCTGAAGAAGAGTCGCCTGCTGCTATGGTTTGGATACAGAGTGTGTCCCTCAAGAGTCCTGTGTTGGAAGGTTGGTCCCCAGTGTGGCAATATTACGAGGTAAGGTGGTGGGGCCTTGATGAGGTGGGACTGAGAAGCAGGTCTTTAGGTCATTGGGGGCTACCCCAGAAGGGAACAAGGTAGATTTGATAGGACCCTAGTTAGTTCTTAAGGGCTGTTACCAAAGAGCAAGACTGGCCCTTCCCAGTGCCTCTGGATTCCTTTCTCACCACATGATCACACCCTCTCCCACACAGTCTCACCAAGATGACCTCTGACATGTGACACAGCGGGGGATGGGGGGGTTGCATGAGCTAGCACCACACTGTTTAGACTTTCAGCCTCCAAAAGTGTGAGTTGGAAAATCTTTTCTTTATAAGTTACTCAGACTCAGGTATTTCACTGAAGACAGAAAACAAGACTAATATACCTACTATCCTCCACTCCTCAAGTACTTTTAAGGGCCTCTCCTCAAGGCATGAACACAGAGTACACATCATACTAACCGCAGACGCAGACTACTACTGTATGATAAAGTGCCTATTGCATTTGTAATATGTATTTATAAATAAATATTTGATATTTCATATTCTCAAGTAATTGTAAACTCCTAGATGTCAGGAACTATATGTTACATGCTTTTATTCAGTTCACTCTGAAAGTCTCCTTCTCTGCCCCTTTCTGTTTTACTCTAGATAATTCTTATCATCCCCAATCAGATCTTTGAAAATGTCTTCTAGTTGGCCTCCCTACATTCTCCCCATCCTAATCTGTCTCTATCAAGATTTTCAGATTCTTAAAAAAAAAAAAAAAAAGATTTTCAGGTTCTTCTTTCTAATATATGACTCAAAAACATTGAAAGAGTTCCCTCTTAACAAGATTTAAAGCCATGCTCTTAGATTTGACATGAAAAGTCACCTACACCTCAGCCTCCATCATATTTACCTCACCTCTCCTAATATAACTCATAAATTAATACCAAGCTAACTCTGTGCTCTGCCACATCCTCCCTATTGGTGCCACCCTCCTGGGGGCCCAGTGTAAATGCCCTCTTCACTTCCTGCTTCCAAGAACCAGTTCAAGCTTTCCCAATGTCTCATATTCAGTTCTTTTTCCCTTGATCTTAGCCAAATGTGTCTAATATTCAATAAGAATTTAACCATATTCTGTTTTGAACTGCCATTCTACCATTTGGAGGGGTATGCATTTTTTCTCTTCCAAGTGATATTTGAATCCGTAAGTACATTCATAGCCCCAGGGTACTTGAACACAATCTGATCCATGAGCCCTTAGCAGTGGCTGGATCCACAGACACAAACCTATTATTCCCAGTATAGTTTCTGTGTGTGAAGAATGCATTCATGCACTTCTTTGGTCAAATGTTTCTCTCTTTACCTGTAATTTTTCTAGTAGGTCCATGTTCTGTCTTTTCAGTTGGCTATTGGCCCTCTCCAGCTTCTCTATAGGTTCATTATCCTCACAGGTATATGAAGATTCCTGAAGCTCATCCTGCAGGACGTGATATTCCACCTCATAGGCATGTAACTGTTTAGAAATATCCATCTCAAACACCTGCCACAGAAACACCAGAGGTTAGTCTGGCCTTCAAAAGATTATGGTATTATATGATATAAGCTATGATCTCTGTACTGGCATACTTCGTGCTACTTCCAATACTTATTAATGAAGAACATTAAAACACACAAAAGGAAAAAATAGGTGTGACTATCAATGCAGGAACAAATTGGATATAGATTAGACTATTATATAAGAAACACAGAATATTTTTATACAACTGAAACATTCTGATGAGACAGAGTCATGAGAATAAATTAATTTCCAAGGGTATTTTGCAACTAAGATATTTATAGTCTAGAAACTGTCTTTTGAAATGTAGTATACCAGATAAACAACATCAGTTATTGAGTAATTATGTTAGAGATAATTGCTGCTAATTAGTAAGCAAAATTGAATAGTGAATTTCTATACTACAGAGAACAAAAGCATTTCTAATGTATTTGTCAATGGAGCAGAGAAGTCTTTAATAAATAGTTTCCATGTGAGCCTCTGGGGAATCATTTATATATTCTACCACAAAGAGAAACCTCAAAAACACACACCCTGAGCACTGTCCAGAGCTGTAAGGTTTAACTAGAGATGCTAATATTCTCCCAGATTATCACCAAATAGGAAGACTATCTGTTTAAGAGTTAGAGGACAAATGACCCTCCATGGTAGGTATACACTAACTGGAGGCAGCTGGAGTGAGTGAGGCTGCAGCTACCATTCAGGAAAATATAACTTATCCTATTACTATTAAAAGACACTTCAATATTAGAATTTTATATAAGGGGTTTCATCTTCCTCACAAACAGGCATGCTCTTCCTTGCCTAGCAGGTGAAGATACACTGGACTATTTATTACATGACCACTAAAAGTGTCGTGACTGACGTGGAAAAACATTTAATACTTTTTTCTACAGTGTTCATAAATAAAGCCCATCAAGATCTCCTCCAATACCAGCAGTTCATTCCAATTAATCAATTCTAATTGTTAGGCAGCTCTCTCTAACATCAAATCCAAAATCATCTGCCTATAAATTCTACCCACACTTCCTAGTAGTAATATATAAAACCAAGCAATTCCCTCATTCGCTTTTTGTTTTGTTTTAATTGGCAGTGTTGGGGATTGAACCCAGAGTCTTGCACATGCTAGGCAAGCACTCTACCACTGAGCTACACCCCTAGACCTCCTCGTTAACTGAGGTAATATCTGATTTCAAATCCCAAAAGCATAATCTCTGTCTGCTTGCCAGTCAAAAGATATTTTCAAATAATAAGGAAATACGTAAATAAAAGCTGCCCTTCTCCACTTAGAGAATCTTAACAAATACAGAACTATTATTGGATATTTACAGAATGTTCTGCTTGTGGTTTAGGTTCCATGCAATGGAAAGATAATCCTATATGTGATAACAGGAGTTCACATTATAGTATATAAAATACTTTAACTTATCATATGAAGACATAATAGGATTTGATCATTGTTCTTCCCTTTTTGTAGGGAAGCTGAGACTCAGAGAGGCTGTCATTCCTCAAAATGACTATTATGTGGTGAGTCACCAAAACAAATCTCAAACTTACTTTTTCTTCTCTTGTCTTCTTTCTGCTATCCCAAGTGCTTCCAGAAAAGTAGTAAACTTTATCAATGCTCACAAAGCATTACTGTACGTTCTACAAATCTGGTCTTTAGTTTGTTCACTTCATCTGAACAGCATCAATGTATAACTACCACTCACCAGGTCTCTATGAAGAGCCAAGGACTAGATTCATGGTGTGCAGATTACTTTCCATTTGCTTTTTGGATCCCTTCTCTATTCTCATCCCTTCTACTATGCACCAAGAGGCAGACTCCTGTGAACCACATGCCCCACAATTCCTTTCTGGCTGGCTTCTGGTTGGGTTTGGTCAATGGGAGGTGCTAGCTGGAGATCAGAAGGGTACAGGTCCTTCTTTTATAATCCTGTCCTACTTAGTTTACTAAGAGCACAGTAACTGTGAAAGGATCCCCTCCTTCACATTTCTGGCTCCCACTGATTCTGTTATATCCTTCATGTGCCCCCTCAGCACCAGGGAGGAACAGCTTCCCTTTGCTTATAGTTCCTGGGCACCTGGACACAGATGCCAGATTCCCTTAAGCCACCCACACCTCTATAAATGTTTCCTTTTTCTGAATCATCAGAACGAGACATGTCTCCTTATTAAGTTTCACAAAACTTCTTAGGTCAGTACTGACCCATTTTGGAACTGAGAAAACTAGGGTTCTGAAGATTAGGGTGATATTTGCAAGCCACACAACTAATAGGAGGCCAACTAATAGATAATAATGTCAACAAAAAAACATTTCTTGGAGAAAAAAAAGCTAGAAGATGGTGCAAACCCAATACTTTCTAATTTCAAAATCTGCACACCTGCATTATGACCTCCTTCTACAACAAAATTAAAAATACAAAGGCAAGGAGATCTCATTTTATTCTCAGATCTTCCTGATTGTGAGTTCTATTTTCAGTTTCAATGAAAAGTATTCCTGAAAAACCCATTATGTAACACTAAATCACATCTCCTGTGCACAGTCAGATAAACAATGTCACAATATAAAAATTTCACAATAGCATAATTTCTAAATAAAATATATCTGATCAAAGTTAAAAAACATACCTGTCAAGCAAAACTGTACTTGTATGCTAAAGCATTTACCATATAATCAGCAGAGAAACCGCTATATAATCTTACTATTATCATTCAAGTCATACCTGGGTAATAATTTTTTCCATCTCAGAGGTATTCATATCAGGTAGCGTGTTCTTAAGGAATTCAACAATGTTTTCAAAGTTTTCACACTCCATTATAAGAGTCTCTTGGCTACTCAAAAGGCTGAGTGCAACCTTGAATATCACTTCAGTTCCCTGAAGAAAAATAATATCTAAAAGAAGAGATGATAATTTCATGACTGAAATTATTCATTCACTATTGTCAAAGGCATATTCTTTGTGCTAAAGGTACTCGTTTTATTATTTCAACATAACCAAAGAATATTTTGCAAAATAAAACTGGTAAAAATCACCTAATTTAAAAATATAATAATATGGCTAAAACAGACAGATGTGTGACTATTCCCCTTACTTTATTAGGAATCTCAGATAAAGCTAGGGGAACAGAGGAAAAAATATATATCTGTTTGTCTATGTGTTTCTTATAATTTTTAACAGCAAATTCATGAGACTAGACACTTTCAACTGATATTTAGATTTTTTTCACAACAGAACATAAAAGCAAATCAACACAGCCAATTATTACTATTCAAAATCTTATAATAAAAAGTAAATGAGACAGTTACTATATAATTAAATTTATATTAGATTAAAAAAATGTAAAAATCTTAAAAGAAAAATCAAAACTAATAACAAAATTATAATCTAAATCAGAAAAGTTACCCTTATTCCAAATTCTGCTTCCTTGCAAATGCAAACATGCAATAGTTTTGAAAAACAGCAAATACATTTGTATAAATATATTTCTCAATATATGCCATTATTTTATCAATAATATACAACACAAAGTCTTTTTAAAAAGAAGGAACTGTGAACTGAACAGACACTTCACTGAAGAAGAAATACAACTGATCAACAAATATATGAAAAAGTGTACAACATCTCTAGCAATTAGAGAAATGCAAATCAAAACTACTCTAGGATTTCATCTCACTCCTGTCAGAATGGCAATCATCAAGAATACAGGCAACAATAAATGTTGGTGAGGATGTGGGGGAAAAGCTACACTCATACATTGCTGGTGGGACTGCAAATTGGTGCAGCCACTATGGAAAGCAGTATGGAGATTCCTCAGAAAATTGGGAATGGAACCACCATTTGACCCAGCATAACCACTCCTTGGTTTATACCCAAAGGACTTAAAATCAGCATACTATAGTGACACAGTCACATCAATGTTTATAGCAGCTCAATTCACAATAGCTAAACGATGGAACCAACCTAGGTGTCCCTCAATAGATGAATGGATAAAGAAAATGTGGTATATATACTCAATTGATATTACTCAGCTTTAAAAAAAAAAGAGTAAAAGTATAGAATTTGCCAGTAAATGGTTGGAGTTGGAGAATATCATGCTAAGTAAATAAGCCAATCCCACCAAACCAAAGGCTGAATGTTTTCTCTAATATGCGAATGCTAATTCACAATAAGGTCGGGGGGGGGGGGCACTAGGAAGAACAGCTTTACTTTAGATTAGGCAGAGGGAAGTGATGGGAAGGGAGGGGAAAGGATGTGGGGATAGGAAAGATAGTAGAATGAAACAGACATTATTACTCTATGTATATAGTGACTACATGATCAATATGATTCTGCAACATGTACACTCAGAAAAATGAGAAATTATATCCCATCTATGTATGATGTGTCAAAGTGCATAAATGCATTCTAGTGTCATGTATAACTAATTAAAACAAATTTTTTAAAAAAAATTTAAAAAGGAAGGAACTGTGAAAGAAAAAAACGTGGTCCCTCTTCTTGCTCACACATCTTTCCCTTCCTGACAGTCTCTATTTTCTACTAAATTCAAAGAAAAGAATTGAGCAACTATTGTCCAGCTGACAGCTCCCATCAGGATCTCATAACAAGAAGCAAGACTACTGGGGACACTTGGTTCTTGAGCTCTGATGGCAAGCTTCCCAGGGCAAGTCGAAGAGATGGCCTGAAACACTATTTCAACTTGACATAGAAATACATCTACAAAGGGATTTTATATATTTCTGAGAAATGCATACATAAAAGGATTTCTAAAGATTCATTAATAGGAACACAAACTCCAGAGTACACTTCACTAGAGAAAAGCAACCATGTATGTTCAATAAACAAGAGAAATCTGGTGACCATCTGATTTAGTACAATCTGATTTCTCCCTCTCGCTAAACTCTGTCTATAGGTTGCATTCCCTCTAACATAGTGCTTAACTTTTAAAACCAAAGCCCCCTGCAAAGAAAGACACAAAGAATTATAATCTGGTATAGGTATACACATTACACCTATGTCTTCAAAACCAAAGTTTCTCCAAATAGCATTTTTCCCATGTTATTTGTAATATCCTGATTGAAATTTCAATGAATTCTATTCTTCTTCTTTTTCCAAAATGCTAGTAATGACCTACAATTGTATCAATACTCACAATTTGATTAAAAAAAAAAAGCTTCAATCTAGCAAAAGCACAGCCATGAACAAGTACTGACGACTTGATCATGGCTTCTAAATAGATGAACAGAACATAAAAATTGTGTAAGCCCTTTCTGAGGCTACCATGATCCTAACAACATCATTAGAACGAACCTCTAGGGAATAGTTGTTGTTTTATTTTTTGGCTTTTCAAACAATAGATAAACCAAACTAAAGACTTGTGACTAGGTTTAAGGGCCCCCAAAGGGAGCATAGAGCATGACATACAGTCCCCCTCTCCGGCCTAGTGCTGAACACTATGACTGGAGAAAGACAAAGTTTCTCCAAACTGTAGCAATGTGCTATCCTGTATAACACATGATAAAATATTCAAGGCATCACCCGGCTAGAAGGATGTTACCTAGAATAAATAGCACTGTCTCGTTAGGTTGCAAGTATCTCTTACCAAAAACTCTGGCTACAAATCCTAATGGAAACTGAGAGGCAAAGAGTGTGAGAAACCAGGGAGCAGCATAAAGACTGGGGCTGATTTCATTTTCTTCAAGATGATTGTAGAGATCTCTGTGGTAGTCGTGAAGGAGCCTGGACAGCTGGTACATCTGAATCTAAAGTTAATTTGGAGAAGAAAAATTAAACACGATGCACTTATCTGAGTGTACATTGGAATTTTAATACTTTAATATTTCATAACAATTCTTACATACTCAATAAATAATAAAAATGAGTATGACTTTATTTTTTTTCAATTTAAAGTTGATATTCAAGTCCAAGTTCATGTTACTGAGGTTCATAAAACAAGTTACTATAAGTAACTTGTTATAAGTAACTGGAGCAAGGTCTTCTATCATGTGTGTTTAGGGATCATTTACATACACATGGAATTGCTTATGTAATTGAATCAGAACTGTCCTGGCTTTGAATTTCCATGGAAAGTACCTTCTAATTTCAGATCAGTTCCAAAAAAGCACCCATTTTAAGATATCTACAATGTTCAGTGTAGAAACAAAGCTTGCCTCTATTTGCTGGGCTCAGCATCTGATTTGTGACATCCTATGCTGCTGTCATACAGCAGAAGTTTAAAATGTCCTGGGGCCAGAAGCTTTAGGTATTTCTTCTAATACCCAAGTTATTTAAGCAACATATTTTTCATGGGATTAAAATAGTGCAGTTGTTTCTGAATGCTTCCAGAATTAAAAGAAATTATTTCATTTGGCCACCAAGTTGATTACTGGCATTTCAAGAACATTATGAAGACATCATATAAGAACTAAAACAAAAAAACTCTATGTCTATATTGCCAAAGTTATAGCAATAACGATATATTGTACTTTAATTTAAATTTTGATCCACAGAGTTAAAAAATAACATTTCTTGATCAGTTACAAATGTTTAATATTTTGTGACGTGTATGCATTATTTTATTAAATCTAGTAGAGTTTCTTCAGAAGAAATTCTTCAAGTATCACCCTACATAGGTAGCTCTATGAAAATACAAATAACCAATTATACCATAAATTCAACAATAGTTTCCTGAGTACAAACTAAAAGTAAGGTGACTTATTTGGAAAAAAAAAAGTCATAAAATACTACATATAAATACAGCCAGCTATGTTTGACCCTTATGTTTCTCCTGATACACACCTATGTTGCATGAACAATATAATTAATAATAATCTAGCTATTTAAGTTGCATAATTAGGCTGTTAACTATCTGTGAATTACTTGGTCTGATATAAGCTTATAAAGGGAAAAAGCATTTGTTACTTATATTAACATTATTGGTTCCATAAACATATAGATTTGTCCAGTGGGGAAATAGGAAGTTTTAATTAGGTGATTGACATTAACATTGATATATCTTTGAAAACTAAGTTTCCACACAAGCTGTGAAGGAAGGAATCAACAGGAAATCATAACTATAAAATAAGCAGCTTAGCTAGAGTCAAACATAAAAGATCTTTTTAAATGAGATTATTATAAATAAATAAATCCAAGCCACTGTGAGACATAAAAAAATGAGATTATTCTCTCAATAAGTCATGATCAATGAGCTACTTATTTCCTTCTACTTTCTAAACTTGGAGTTGAGGATATCAAGGTATATTTGGGCAGATAAGGTGAAAATTCAAGCTTCCTTCAAAGAAAGCCCTGGTAATAAACTCCTAATTGCTAAAAACAAATAACTTCAACTCTACTTAATTGATAGCAAGGCAGATCTTCAGATGGAAGAATTAGAACTAGAGGGAGAAAGGCAGAGAGATAGGCAGGGGAGAGAAGATAGAAAAAGAGACCATAGACTTCACAAAATAAGTAGAAACACAATGTGATAAAATATAGACATTTAAAGTTGAAAAAGACCTCAACCCCTCATTTTACAGATAAGATAACTGAAACAGAAAGCCAGGAGTGTCCCAGCACACCAACAGTGAAGAAAGAAATCAGAAATCCTGTTAACAGAGTACTGACCCACTGCGGCAGGCATTTACGCATACTTGTGAAAGTCTTGATTGGACCAAAACCCCCCATTTCCTGCTCTAGAAAGTGAAAAAGTGCTACATCCCACTTTATAAAGCATAAAGGTCTACTCTCCTAAGGTCCCTGATTTTGTAGCCTAGGATGCTGCCATCAATGATTTTTTTTTTTGGATTGAGGAAGAAGGGATACCAGGGATTAAACATAGGGGCACTTAACCCTTGAGCCATACCCTCAACCCTTTTCTAAGTTTTTATTTTGAGACAGGGGCTCACTGAGTTGCTGAGGCTGGCTTTGAACTTGGGATCCCTTCTGCCTCAGTCTCCCAGGTCGCTGGGATTACAGGAGTGAGCCACAGAAACAGGAGTGAGCCACAGTGCCTGGCTATCATCAAAGATTTTTAAACATCTACAATTTCAAAATTAGAGACATAAAATATTTCTTGGTAACTATATGCCTTATTAAGTTAATGTATAAATCCTATGTACATGGACGTTTGTCATGTCAAATTGATGAGAGTGTGTGTGTATGTGTGTATGTGTGTGTGTGTTTCTGGGAATTGAACCCAGGGTCCTATGCATGGTAGGTAAGCACTCTACCATTGAGATACACCACTGAGATACATCTCCAGCTCAATGAGGAATTTTTAAATGGAAAAATCATTGTATTTTAAAACCAACAGCAAGCCATGTTTCCGTCTCTGGACCAAAATCAAACACTACTCACAGGTACCTTCCATTCTTTGGAATTCTAATGATAGCTATCAAACTGCTGTCTCTGAAAATCAGAGCTATTTAATTCCTCACAATGATGTCAATGCATCCTATCCAATATAACATTTATTTTCAAAATAAAGTAAAAAATAAAATACTCCATAGCCATTATTAAACAGACCTGTGAACAGTCTTCAACCAGGAATCAAATCACTGTAATTATGTGTCCTGGTGAGCACTCCCCATAGGCGCTGTTAAGTAATTGGGTACTTAGCAAAATCCCAAATCCCACACTCTTAAATAAGACAATGGGACCAAACTTGTTTAAATCTGAACTGTAATTTAGAAGACCAAGATTTCTGGTGACAGCCTCCTGCCTCCTGTACTCCTTGTGAAGAACCACAGCCTCACCTGTAGCGACATCATGTCAGGTCTGTACTGCTTGCGGAAGCCTAGGTCATACATGAGGAACTTCAGCATCTCAAAGGCTTGCTCTTCACTCATGTGCAGAAGCAGGACTCCAGCCACAAAGCTGATCCCCTGACAGTAGCCCACTTCACTGTCCAGCAAAGAGTAGGCCTTTAGGAGGTTAAAGAGTGACAGCTGCCCTGCCCCAAGCTGTACAGAAAAGTAGGGGTGAGTAGGAAATGTCCTTCCTGCAAAGAAAGAGAAGACCTCTTAGAGGAGACCAGGGTGCAAATGCAAATTGGTGAACTTCAGGAACAAATGAGCACCCTCCCAATCTGGTGACAGCTTCTTGGAATTTTCATCTCATAATTTCTCTCTTTGCTTCAAGCCCCAAGTTGTACTTGCCAGGCTCCCATCCCACCTCCACATATATGGTATAGGGGTAAACATTTTATACTAACCAGTATTCCTTCCACCAAACAACAGGAGACAATGAAAATCCCCAGACAAACAAACAACATATCCAGGAGAGTTTGCCAGAGAATAGAACTCAAAATGTATTCTGACTATAAATCAGGACAAATTCTAAATCCATATAAAAACCACCCTCTAACTGAAGTCAGAACTTATATAAGAAGGATCATAATATTGGAAAGGAAATTTTACAACTGGAAGATTAGCCCAGTGACAGAGTGCTTGCCTAGCATGTACAAGAGGCTTTGGTTCAATCCCCAAGCACCAAGGGGGAGAAAAATAAATTTTAAAATTTTAGTAGTCATAAACAGATTTATTGCTGCTTTTCTTATAATTTTAATATTGGAAGGGCTTTGTGGTTTTGTTTCACTTTATATTCAGTTTGTCATTGGGGAAATAATTCTTTTTAAAATATCCTTTGTTCTGTGTTTCTTAAAATGCCTTCATGAACCATGTAGATCCCTTTTCTTTTTTCACTATCTCCAAAAAAGATACATACACATAAGTGTGTGTGTATACACATATATGGCTATATCCATATCTATGTTATATATCTGAGGAGGACAAGGAGCATAAAGGGTAGAGCTGATTTCAAATAAATTCCCTCCAAATTTACCTCTGGGTAAAAATTAGCACAGAAATACCAGTTAGCAAACAAACACAGTTCCATGTCACTAAAGAGCTGGTGCCAGGTACTAAATCAGATCCATCTTCTCTACCAAAACTGTACATGCTGCTTTGGGACTTGTCTTATGCCACAGAAATGAAGGGGATGTTACTAGCTTCCTTGTGAAATGATTACTCAAGTCAGTTAGAATTTGCAAGAATGTCAGATTTTTTACATGTTTTCTACTACATATGCTTAAAAGTGATTTTTTTCCAGGAACTGATAAGATTAATTCTGCAGAGTAAGGAGAAGAAATGAGAAAATAACAAAAATATGCTGCAGAAACACAGATGGCTACAAGTAAAGCGAAATAAGCAATTTTTCAAATTATCATTTTACTCTCTCACTTAACATTTTTGCAAACAAAAACTAAAAATACACTATCCAAGAAGCTGAGTCCAGCTCCATATTTGTCAGCCTTTCCTTGTTACCTGATCTCATCTCCCCCTTTGCTAGTAAATCTTGACTAACCCTGACTGCAACACCTCAATCCTATTTCTCATCACCAACATATCATCCCGGAACTACAGCTCTGCAAGGGATCCCAGGGATTGCCTAGTTCATGCCTCCATTTAACAAGAGCAAATTGCAACTCAGAAGCAAAGCAATCTAGGACCACAGTTAGTGGTAGAATCAAAACAAGAACTCAAGTTTTTAGTGTTTCTATAAAATTTCCATTTTAATTCTACTGGGCTCAAAGAGTATTTAATTAAGCTGGGCCCTTCCCCAAGAAAAGCTGTTTGTCATCCAAAAGGAACAGAGGTAAAAACTAGATTTTAGCCAGTGATTTTTTTATATGCCCTAATATGAAATGACCCCAAATATAAGGTAATCTCCTGTTTACCTCATGAGCTCGAATAACATTTCTGGCCAATGGCAATAATCACCTTTTAGGAGTACAGATGAAATAGTCAAACACCAATGGACAATATTTAGATATTTTTAAATAAAATACACAAAACATGTTAATTTAGGGAAAGGAGAGACAATATGATATTTTAAATCATTGGATTTTATTTTTCATAAATTATTGGAAATTCAGCATTAAAAAGATTGCTTTACGATGCTGTCACTGGAAATCCTCCCTCAGGTCATAAGTACCCATTCTTTCATTAGTAACTTAATTTTTCATCCATCTGAGAGGTAGGTATCCATGATGCCTACAGCATAACCATTTATTGTATTGATATTTTTTGTCCCTGGGATGTGTTCAGTGACTCCCTCCATCTTCCTTACAAAGAAACAGTGCCCTCTGAGCTGTCCACTTTCGGTCTTATCAAATGCCATCCAATCACTCCTGAGGTTATAGACAGGCAACCCCTGTATTGTTTGTTTTTTGAAGTGCTGGGACTTGAATCAAGGGCTTGAATCAATCCCAGGAGCATATGGGGAAGTGCTATATACTCTGACTCACATCCCCAGCCCTCTATATTACTTTTTAAAGTGATAACTACAGGCTTGCTTTCAGCCATAGGTTCAGGGTACAACTTTGCTAAATTTTTTTGGTTCTCTTTTAACCTATTTTGAAACCAGCACTGATTAATATATAATTGTCTATCCTAAAAATCAATTATTCAAAACACAGAGACCACTCTTTACAGTACCTTTTTCAGAGGGCAAGTTTGGGGATGAAAACTTCATTTTAGACTCAGGCATTTATGGTGTCTTCGATCAGATTTAAGGCTAACTTACCCCAGAGAGGAAGGTCTGCAGTTCTACTGATACCAACCAACAAACAAAGCCCCAAACCTGCTCTCTTTTGTTAATTACAATCAACATGATGCACATACCCAAATCCACAAGGATAGCATGCTGCTGGGCGGTGAGCCGCTTCAGAAGTTCTTTATAGGATGTGTCTGGGGGTTGGTGCTTGTTAGGCAACCTGTGTCTCAGGCGATACTGCAAAGCCAGGAACTGCCAAATTTCACCTCGTCGACTTTTGGGAACTCCTACAATCAAAGAAATATTAAAAAAAAATAAAAATGAAAAAGGTCAGGCTTTTAACTCTGAAATCAAGTTGCTAACTTGCAGTCAAAGAACTATTTAATTCTTGAAAATAGGAAGCTGGACTGGACGGCTTGTCAACCCCAGGTCACAGTTACGTGGTATAATGTACTGCCTGAACCACTGTTTGACAAGTGTTATCCTATAGCTCCTGATGTCTCATGAACGAAAGTTTTCAAATAATAACTGGGGCCACAATGTCAGTCATTGGGCAACACTGAGCACCTAATTAAAGATTTTACTGAGGGTGTTAGCCACCAAGTCTCATATGTGCACTCAGAGAACAACCCTAAGAAGTAGGTAACCACTATTATTCCCACTTTACACCCAGAAATGCTGAGGTGGGAGACTATGCAATTTGCCTGAGTTCCCACAGCTAATAAGGGATGGCACAGAATCAGCTCTCTGAAAGTCTGGCTTCAACAGTCAAATTCTGAAATCCAAAAAATGTATTACTGCCTATTTCTACTTTTTATGTAGCTCAAAGACAGCCACCAATGTTAATCCTCATATTACAATTTTTCTATTTTTCATCCACAAGTAACTTTGCAAAAAAGAATTAAATATCATTGTATGTAATCATAAAATAATAAAAAATAGTAAACACAAGATGAGGACATCCCGGGGCAACCAAGAATGTCACTCAGCCTTCAATAAAAAAAAAATACTGAGTACATATAATGAAACTTTGACTCAATCATGCCTGAAAAATCAAAGGGTATCACAAGCAGTTCAAAGTATGCTACAACTATGTTTTTATGTTTCACATGAAGTAAGTATGGGAGGGACAGGATTCAGTTCTGTACAGGGAAGCCAACTTTTTATTTCCCTCATCGAGAGCTTTTATTTCAAATAGAATGGATCTGAATGGGCCCCTGAGCTCCAGCTGGTTAAGGGAAGGTTTGACCAATCTCCTCTGACAGCAATGCCAGTGTTTGCAAAAGCTGAGAGCATTGCCGCCCACAGGGTGCTGCCAACCAAGCTCTCTTTTTTAGCCCCATTCCCTGACAAACACTAGAAGTTTGTGGTTATTTTCACTTTCCCAATTTCTAGCTCCTGCTGTTGCTTTTATGAAATTTTAAGTGCTCGTGCGCGTGCTTGTGCACATGCTCGCTCTCTCTCTCTCTCTCTCTGTCTCTCTCTCTCAATGGCCTCAAGTATTTCTGTTCTTCTTTATAGATGATCCTGAATATCATTTTTTCCGCTGAAGCCCTCCCTAGCATCTCTAATCGACATAGTCACTTCCTTTTCACACACCATTCATACTGTAACATTACCATATTGAACTACAGTGAGCTTTATACTGTCTATTTGTATACTTCCCAACCTTGATGGTGAACTCCTTGGGAATGGAAGTCTACTTTCATCTTATATTCTTGGACCTTGTTACTTAAATATTTGGGAATGAATGAATGACAGCATATAACATGTCAATCTTAGAGGGTGGCTTTCATTAGCCCACTAAATCAATCACTAATAGTTCTTGGTTGCTGGCTGTTTGAACTATCCATATAACAAAAAAAATTACCAAAGAAAACCCCTTACACACTTTGGTTAAACAGCATCCAGTATGTAATGGAGTATAGAGCGTGGCCTTGAGGATACCTTATCACCCTGAGAGATGAATAAACCCATTCTCAGGAAAATTAGTCTCATCCACCCATTCATTCAGTAAGTAACTTGTGAAAAATACTGTTTGGGTGCTATGTGGGCACTGACAGGGCAAGAAAAACAATAAACACAAACACACAACATTACAAATGATGTACATACACTGATCATGAGAAAGAATAATAAATCAAAACGACTTTATTTTGGCGGTAAGGCAAGGATGGAGCTCTGAGGAAATGCTATTTGAGGCCTGAGGGGAGAACAGAAGTAGGAGTGTGGGCAGCTATCACTTCAGGAAGAGATGTGAAGGACCTGAGAGGGGCAGAGGAAAGGAGAGAGAAGAAGAGAGAATGGATACAATGGAGATGGAAAGAGGGGAGAAGGAAGAGAGGTAAGGAAGATCTAGTTTGGGGAGGACTGAAACATTCCACACAAGGACTAGCTTGGGACATACCATCCATCACCCAAAGTAGTTGTACCTCTCTGAGGGATTTATGTACAGAAGGCAGGGAGAGGCGAAGAATGAGACTGGAGAAATGGAGGAAAGAGTGTATGAAGGCTTTGGGTACAGTGTCAACTACATCTATAAGGAATTCAAAGATGAGCACTCCCAACAATGCTTATTTTATTTATTTTTGCGGTGCTGGGGACTGAACCCAGGGTCTTATATAAATTAGGGTCTACTAGGTGTAGACCGCCGCCCATTTAAAAACATCTTTAGAAGTTATACCAAAGAATGGTGAGATCAATAGTTCACACACATTCATTCACCACTATTTTTTCTCTCCCTAATAGTGCATTCAATGAAAATCTTTGGAATTTACAAATCTTCAAGAAAAAAGAACAGCATATTAGACTTGTAAATATGGAATCTTACAAAGTGAATCTTACCTTAATCTAAACTATGTTTTACACATTACTATATGCTTTTACAACAAGGAGCTGGGGAGGTAGCTCAGTGGTATAGTACTCAAGGCCCTGGGTTCAATTCCCAATACTAAGCAAAATTTTAGAGAGAAAAAAGAAAATAAGATTGATCTGTCAGATTTTTATTTTACACTCATATTGTGCAAGTCATGGAAATTCTCATTTTACTATATTTAATGTGAGTCATAGAAATTGTACCTAAAATATTCAAACAGTAGTTTTCATTTTAAACTTAAAATGTTTTCTATAATCCCGGTGACCTGGGAAGCTGAGGCAGAAGGATCACAGGTTCAAGGCCAGCCCCAGCAATGTAGTAAGACCCAGTCTCAAAACAAAAAATAAAAAGGACTGGGAATGTGGCTCAGTGGTAAAGCATCCCTGGGTTCAATCTCTAGAAATTAATTAATTAATTAAAAATGTTTATCAAGCAACAATAAATTCAATGGCTTTAAACAAGCAATTTCTCTAAAATAAATGAAGGAATAAATGGAGAGGGAAACTTGGTTAATTCATCAGAATATAAATCTTACCTATAAATTCAGATATTGTGGGTGTATCTACACCTTCATATAAATATACACATATATGTAAACAAATACTTCTGAACAAATTGTGGAAATGAGCCCAGTTTGTAAATCTGAACTAGTTTTCTGGCAGTGATCAAAGATTTGTACCAAGGCATGTGATTCTTCTTTGGCAAACAATAAAAGCTAAAAAGAGCTGGCTGACACAGTAGAGCCAGCATAAGAGCATCCTGCTGCCTCCTTGGGACAGGACCTCTATCAGCACCATTTTCTTACCAATCATGTCACCAAGTTGTAGGCAGAAGCACATTACTTTCCTTTTTTATAAGCTAAACACAAAGACAAAATTATTACTGAGACGCACAACTTGTTAAAAAGAAAAATCTGAGGCTTTTCTTTAAAAAGATTCCGGAGATTATCCCAAGTACCTTCTCTTAGAGAAGTGTGAATATCTTCCATGTCACATCTGATCTTAGCTCTGCAGTTTAACAGTTTCTTATCCCAGGTTATTAAGACCTCCTTCTGACATGCACCAACTTCCTCATAGTCTAACTTGACTTTTCTGGACTGAAGTTCATCTCTTCTTGCTAAAAAAGAAAAAGGATTTATTAAGACCAGTGTGTCTTAGAATAACCACTTTAAAATACTGCATTAGTAAAAACATATCAATGACTTTTAGGAATCCATGACCAATATTTACTCAAAGAATAAAATTGAGGATAATATTAAAAGTTCTCAAACTTTCAGTCATTTCCATGAAAAAATACAAGCAAAAACTTTTTAAGAAGATATTACTGTCTTATACTGTAACTCCACTAAGCACAAAACTCAAGCATGAGAGCCAACATGCTTTGATAGCCAATATGCTTGAGTGTTGTGCTTAGAGGAGTTACAGTATAAATTTTAACTTCTTGACAAATGGGGTTGTCTCAGCAGTGACAGCTCACATTGTCTTAAATACCATTAAAGTGTTAATGTTTCAGATGACAAATGAGAAGACAAGAGAGACAAGACATGACCTCATGCTAACTTGTAAAATATTTGACCATCCCAACCTCATAAATTTCTATAACTACTTTCAAACTTATTCACATATCTCCTAAGAATAGGTTCCTGTGTTCATTTTTAATAACATTTTTCTGGTTTTGGTGCTAAGGATTGAACTCAGAGCCTCATGTATATGCATGTACCTCTGAGCTACATTCCATAGCCTCCATTTTTAATAATCTTAAAAAGGAAAACCCACTTCACTGAAGTTAACACTAATTCTACTTTTTAACTAATACAGAATTATCTCAAATTTGTTGATATAAAAGATAGGCCCAGAGGCCCCCCCCCAAAAAAAAGTGTTCACAAAATCTATCACTATCTTGACTCATCTTGATCTTGAATAATAGATTGCAAAGGGAAGAAGGAAAGAGACACAGATGAGGGTCTTTACCCTTTCATTGGGGTCCCATGGCCAGGAATCTATCGGAGTGCACCGCCCCCCCCCCTTACCTTCTGCAACACAAATCTTTGTCATGCATCCAAAGTCCTCGACAGCACAAAAACAACAGAACGAATGTTACTCTTTACTTAGTGTCTTTGAAACCATTTTCAAAGAATCAAAATGTCTTAAAACAGGCTGCTCTTCAACCAGGACAGTAAAAATCCCTGATTAAATGATGGAAAAAAGATATATCATGCTACAAAAATATCCCCCCTGGCTACCACTAGATGGCTGTCTAACACAGTTTAGCTTTGCCTCTCACTTTCTATTTCCTTAACCAATACCTATTAACAATAATACCATCCTACATATAGTTTCACTAATGACTTGCTTCACAGTGAACAAAGTATAACATTCCCTTAGATATTTTTCTCCAACTTTCTTTAGTGTGTTTAAAATAATCACCTATTATTCAGTAGGCCCTAAGGATAAAATGGCAAGATCAGTTAATATCTATCTCCCTACAACTGGTTCACTAGGCAGGAATACAAAACCACCAAGAAATGATTATCAACTGGCTCAAATTTTAATAAACTATATTTATGCCTTTGTTAATTAAGTAAAGAAGTATACGCAGAACTGATAAAGGTTTCTGGTAAGATATTCTAAAATTGCCTCTCCTACCCTCAAAACTATATAGTATAACTGACCTCAAAACATACTTGTGGTCATTTATATTAAAACATTCCATTTCTTTGTATGAGCACACATAGCTAAGCAATACTGTAGCATATTCAGAAAAACCCAAGAGTCCCAGAACTTGTTCTGCTGGTTTATGTGATTATGTGACTTTGGGTTAATTCCTTAGCCTCCCCAAGCTTGTCACTAACTCGGCTACAGAAGGAAGAACCCAGCTAAACAATCCCTAAGGCCCTGCTCCCTCAAATAGTCTATGACTGTAAAACCATCCTTTGATGTTTATTGTAAGATTGTATTTGTACCTAAGTCCCAACTGAAGTGTAATTTCATGTTTTAAATGTTTTAAGGAAATGGTAACCCTCTTTTATTCAACACCCTTTTCTGTTTATGACTTAATTCAAGATGTAACCAACTGCTTAAAAATATGAATGCAATTCCTGCAGAAATCTTTGAGAAGCTTGAGTTCATATACAATTTATCAAACAGAACTTTTCAAAGCTGTGTCAATAACAATTAATTGAATTATTAATTTAAAAAGATTTATTTCCTAAGGATATTTAGCATTTTATGTATTTCATCTGCTAAGAAAATAACAACAAAAAAGAAAAAAAACTATGCCTTTGTAAACAAAATATTATTAAAATAAAAAAATGAACAATAGGTGTGTTAATAAGAATCTTAACACAGATAATGAATTTAGAAATGTGAAAATCTGCATTAAAAAAAAATTTTAGAAGACAACACAATAAAAGCAAGTGAGAGAAAAACCTGTATTGTTCATTTGACAATAATCATAAGAGTCAGAGGGTCTCTTTAGCCTAAATTGTTCATTATAAGATATAAAGCCAAGGGACTTCTCAGAAGCAATTTGCCCAAGATAATGATATTTATATACCTTTTGCATTTTTGTACTATCTGGACATCTTATTGTGTGATTATATCAGAACAGAAGCAAACTGAATCATTTTTGGAAGAAGCTGAAAAACACATTCTAAAGCATTTAGTGTTCAAAAACCCAACAATCCAGTACCACAAATAAAACAATAGTTATTATAAATTATTTGGCTGTAAATTTAACAATTTGACTACGATTTCTTAAAAAGAAAATTTATAAAGCATTAACAAAAAATAGGAACTCTGATTTTATAAGAGGCAATTATAATTAAACAGTTAAAATAGATATAACAGAAAAATAACTTATTTAAAACAAGAACGTTACACTCATTATAAATATCATTTATCCTGCAAGTTGAAAATCATATTAAAAAAAATAAAGTATACTTTTTCCTATTTAAGGTTTTTTTTTTGAGTAATGCACAATGATATTAAGTTTTCAGTCATGTAAAATACATTGAATCCCTGTTACCTATAATCTTTATTAGTCATATATTCCCATAGTCTTCTGATGTTTCAACTCTATCAAACAAAAATGCAAAGATCTTTAGCTGATCTTTCCCAAGTCTCATGAAAATAATTAGAATCAATAGATATTTACAGCTTAAGAAAGAGTGTGAGGGTGTGTGTAACATTTGCCCTGTTTGAATAGCTAACCTTCAAGTTTCTGGTTTTCTTTTTCCATTCGAAGCAACAAGATTTGTTGGTGTATAGCTTTTTTCCATAAACTCTTTAGTTCTTTCGACTTCTTTTTTTCTTCGACCTTCTCTGGGTCATCATCACCAGATAAGAATATAACCAGCGGTTCCTCTTCCATGGTGGGAGTGAGAGGGGACAGTGGCAGCAGCTCATTCCTGTCCAGTCCATCTGCAGAGAAGAAAACAGTGAGCGGCATTCCTTAGTAGTAGCTTAGACTACAGAAGCTTCCTTTAGAGTAACACTCTCTCATCTTAATCCTCCACATTTAATGGTGTTCACAGAGCCACTTTCCCAAGAACAACTGTTTCTGGAACTAGCAATTTAAGTAAATTTACCAGGCTGAATTCCCCTTCCAGAGTTCCCTGTGACAGTGAAACAAAGGTCTATGTCATTTCACCACTTCTTCTTTTTACACAAAAAGACTTGTAAGGGAGTCACTCCAAAATGAACTGGCCTTTCCCCAGCGTCCAACACTTCTGCAATTTACCTACGTATATTCTCTGGTGCAAAACAGGAATGGGTGGTAGGTACTGGAGATCTCCTAAGGTCCATGCCTCCTGTCAAGAGTCCTCCAGGAGAGCAGCAGCTGAGCAATGCTCTGTCCTTCTTGGCTGAGCATCTCACAGGGCCCGCTGCTCCCTCCCCCTGCAAAGTCTCCTTAACTGATCCCCTGCAGCTCATTCTCTCCTTCCATTCTGGCCCGTTCCCTGCATACTGCCAATTATTTTCCTATTAACAAACACAATCATATCTCTTAAAACATCTCGATGACTGCATCAGAGAGACCAAGTGCAGACTACTGGGAATAATATAAATCTCGCCAGACTCTGGCCTCAAATCACCTTTCCAGCCTCATGTCTCAAGCTCCTGTCCTCTGCCCCATCGTGCAAAGTTTCTCACAATTCTCTGACCTGCAACGTCCTCTCACATAACTCTAGAACTTTGCTAAGACAAGTTTCTTCCAGGGATGAGTTTAAATATTCCATTTTTCTGTGAAGCTGTCTCTTCCGTCCTAGGCAGAGTTAATTTTATCTTTAGCAATGCCAACTGCTTTCTTCTTTTTTTCTCATTGTAATTCACTGATCTCTGCCCCTACCCTTATTATTTACTTCCTCGGGTTTTGTTTGTTCATAGATTTTACTTTTAATTCTTTTCCAGCTTCTTGAGTTGAATACCCAGTACATGTGACTTTTGGATTTCTTGATTTTAGATGAACACATTCACAGTTGTGAATTACCCTCAAAATACTAAATGCAGAGCACAGGTTATCATATTTTATTCCTTCTACATTCTACGAGTATAGTTTCCAAACACATAAAAATTTTCAGTTGTCCTTCTTTTCTTTGCAGTCCTGGGTATTGAACTCAAGACCTCTCTCATGGTAGGCAGTGATTTGCCATAGAGCCACATCCATAACCCTAGCTGTCTTTAATTCATTCTTTTCATGCTTGTTTCCTTCCTTCGTTTCTTTTTATTTTGGCACTATGGTCAGAGAATATAATACACATAATCATGATTGTCTGGGATTTATTAAAATATCTTTTGGCCAAGTACATAATCCATTTTTATGAATGTGTCACATGTGGCTAAAAAATGGATAAATTTTCTCTACAGAGGCAAAGTTCTATATAAATATTAGATCAAGCTTGTTCAATTGTACCACTCCAATACTATCTATATTTAATTTTCAAAGGGAAATATATTAAAATCTCTCATGAGAGCAGTTGATTTATTTATTCTCAAATTCTTTTAAGTATCATTTTCTAGCTCCTAAGGCTATATAATAATTCATGTTCTCAGTATTGTTTCCCTTTTCATTTATGCTACATTTACTTTGTCCCTCTGGATGTTTTTGCTTTAATTTCTAAAGGGTCTAATATTCGAAGAAAGCTGCTATGCTCTCTTAATTGATATTTGCCTAGTGTGATATTTCCAGTTTTTACTGTTCATTTCTCTGTCATTTTATTTTATGCATGACTCTCATAAAAGACTGTATTCTGTATTGCTTTTCTAATAATTAAAAAAAAGAAGAAGAAGAAATCTACAACTTCTTCTGCAGCACTATCATAGTTCCCTGCACATTGTGGAGTAGATTCCAAAGCAGGTTTTGGCAACCCACACTCTCATTCATTCAAAAACAAGTACCGATAAAATAGACATTAGTATTGCTATATGTATACACGTGACTGTATAACCAATGTGATTTTGCAACCTGTACACTCAGAAAAATGAGAAATTATACCCCATTTGATTCAAATGTATGATATGTCAAGATCATTGTATTGTCATGTGCAACTAATAAAAATAAATTTAAAAAAAAAACAAGTACCTAAAGTCTAATGGGTTGTGATGATACCTATCTATCAGATACAGAAGTTATGTCTCCACTTGAATCTCTTACATCTTTTTATACACAAACCACTTCCACTGCCTTCCCATATTCACAGCACTCACAGGAAGAAACTCCTCAGCAATTACACACATACCTTGTTGCTGCATTGCAGAGGGAGATTTGTTCATCGGCGATGCAACGCGAAGGAAAATGCGCTGCCGCCAGGAGATCCTGCGGGGAGTGACAGGGGTTCCTCCAGTATTTAGGGACTCGTTGCTACAGGTGGATGAGGTCCTTTTCCTCCCTTCTCCATCACTGTGGATTGCCAATAAATATAAACTTTGTAAAGTTGCATAACATGGTACTTCGCAATGAAATGGTAGCACAAGCCATTCACAAGTTCTGCCGCAGGCAAGCACGAGGCACAGGCACCATGGAGCAACGTGGCATGAGCACATTGGTCACCCAGGCCAGCGCATCCTGGGAAAATTGCAATCCAGGACACAGGTGGGTCATGAAAAGCTCACCTGTTTCTACTCATTCCTCAGTAGCCAACCAGTCCTGCCTCTAATTTGAGCAACAGAAGCACTTACACAGGGCACTAAAGGTTGCTTCAGTAATGAAGTTTTGCTTTGCCAAAGAAATAAAACCCATAGCTTATTCTAAACAATCTAGATATTTAATAAGATGCTCTGAGAAAGCTTTTGCTATAGCTCCTATAGAATTAAGATCTACAAATTGTTAGCTACCGATGGTTGGATCATGGCAGAAAAGAACCCAAATACAGAAGAATGGGAAATGCTGGCTGGTGTAGTAAGAAAAAAAATATATGGTCAAATAATTTTAAATAGGCTAAGTTTTTTAAAAAAATATATATTAACCAGATTTCTTTACAGCAGGACTCCTTTAAGACTGGCATGAATTGTGACTCTCAATCAGGGAACAGTATACAGAAATTCTACTGTCAAAAGACCTCCAGGAGGCCTCTGGAGTTCAAGTAATTGACTCTTCTTCACCACTCCCAACTTTTCTTCTTCTTCATCTGGGGGAAGATCTCACATTATTCTATGTCAGTGCTCTGTGAAACTCCCATGTGGAAATACTGGTCTAAGTATTTCATTTTTTAAGAAAGTTCACTCTGGGTTATATGAGGTCTATCTGCCATAAAAGGTCATAATGACTCAAAGTTACTTTTGAGACCAACTGTATAACTAAAAGACCACATAATCATGGTTGCTGTTCATGGTAGGAATATTTTATTTGTCTATAGTTTCATAGTCTTTAAGCTCTCCTAAGAGAATGATGAAGATAACATTTATAAAATGGTGATACCCACAAATGAAAGCTATGGGACTTTGGGTATAATCAAGAAGTTCAGAACTTAGGACAGAAATGAAACCCAGCTAGAAAAGCCACAGCCTCTCAGGCACTTAGAGGAACTCAACAGTGCTGATGCAATTAATAAAAGGAGAGCAATTCTGTTCCTTCCTGTTATATTTTTATTCACTCTGTGTATCCATACTTACAGTTATCAGGCAGTTCAGTTATTTCCAATCTGGGATCTATCTTCCTAAAATATTACTTTAGCTAATCTAAGAGTAAGAAAAGGACATACCTCTGAGCTGATATGCAGATATCAAGTGTCATGTTGTGTTATGCTATTTGAGGAAGTAGCTGAGACATACATGTCAATAGAGTCACATGTCATGTATCCTACATAAAATTGTCACCCTATTAGGTGTCCAAGGTTCAAAACTCCCTACAATACTAAATAAATAGATTCATCTTTATTTCTCCTTTGGAAAGCAGTCATTCAAATATTACTTTCTCTGTGATTCAAATGTTCTCTATATAATGTGTACATCTTGATAATACTCTCAGAGTAGTCTGTACCTTAACATTTGTAACAGTATCTCACCTGAATTATTTGCTAACTACCCAGTTCAGGAGTAAATTGCTAGCTCCCACTGTAATAAATAGTAAGCACTAAAGAAATAACCCTTGAATAAATTAATGCTTTATATAACCATATGAAATATTAGCTTAGAAGCTTAAGTAAAATGGAGGAAAAAATATGGCTGAGGTCTACCTTCTTAATTGATTAGTAGGCATGAGTTTAAATCTTTCTGGCAGAAAGTTCTGGTAGCTGTTTCCCAAAAGTACAGAGTGAGCTGTTGATGGCACTGGTAGAGTACATAATGACAAGATTGTTAATCAACAACAAAAAGCACCTTTTTTCCCTAGCAAGTGTAGTTCCTTCCCTATAGGAGGGCTTCAAATTTACAATTTATGCTTTGAAATCTAAATGAAATACTTCTATTAAAGTACCTACTTCAATGCCTCAAAGGGTAAATGTTCTACAAGTATTCATTTCTCCTGATTTTCTGGTAGCGCTAATAAACGAAATAAGAATAAACCAAATGAAAGAATTCTAAATGTTCATATTTTTATGCTGAAACTAAAACATCATTTTTGAAAAAAATTCACTGTTATGATATAGTAAGTGTTTAGAAAGTACTACTAATCAAAGTGAGTGGTACCCATATCAGTTTCATTACTAGCTGCAAAATTCAAGCTTTGGGGGGGAAATATGTTATAAACTAGTTGCAGAAATTACCCTGACATTAGTCTACTCCTGCATATTTAAAAATTGTATTACTTCAAAATTTTTAAGCCCTATAATTGAATAAACTACTAAGTGAAAAACTCTCTACCCAGATCTGGAATTTAACAACCAGTAATAGACAAAAATTAGTAGACAAAATAAAAGATAATAATATACCAAAAAGGGGAACTTAACATAACACATCATTGATCCTTTATCTTGTACTAAAAAACTACATCCTCAAAAAGTAGTGTGGCTGCCCAGATATGTGAGAGCTAATCTGCTTCATTTCATAAGAGGAGACATGTATGAGAAAATCAGGTTCCAGATAAGGTTTCAGCCAGTAGTGCTCATGTGCAGCTAACAGCTGCTCACTGATGTAGCTGACAATCTGACACTCTTAAGGTGGCAATTTCAAGAATCAAAACCATATGAAACACTGTGCACTGAAATTCGTATGTCTCAACACTGGGAGGTGACATTTCTTTTGTTTTTATTTTTCGTTTTGGCTACAACATTCATTTTCACTTTAACTTCTTTAATTAAACTTAGCATGGAAATCAAGTAGAATGTCTATTTTGTGAGTTAAAAAAAAAGAAGATAACATGGTGTCTATTATCATAATAATAGTGGTAATTAAGACTCACACAAAGCTCACACTACACAGCAGTCATGTAATCATCTTACAAGTATGAAATAATTTTGTCCTCACAGCAACCATCTATGGTAGGTATTATTACTCTTCCCATTTTTGGTAAGAAACCTAAGGTAGAAAGCTTCTAAGTAACTTCCCATAGTCAATCAGATGACAAACAATGGAGCCAGGAGTCAAAGCCAGGCAATCCAGAATCCAACATGGAGGCACTATGCTTTATCATGCCAGTGTAAATACTCTGCATTAGTTCCTGCAAAACTCTATAGGACATAAAAACAAAGCTGTCAGGACCCCCAAAATTCTCTGTATTTTGGATGGAAAAAAAATTAGTCTCTAGTCAGCAGTAAGTCTCTTGGTTGGGTAATTTTCTTTCCACTTTTGAATGGAATGATCTACTTCAGCAGAGAACTAACTTCAAAACACTAAAAGGTGCTTTATTTGTGTAAATGCCTCACTTCAGTTTCTCTGAAATAAGTGCAGTTCATAATGAATATTCTTGTTGATTTTAAACAAAACAGCTTAATATAGTATAATATACATATGTTGCTACTTTATTATCTTTACATTTTTAAAGTCATGAAACAAATTATAGACATTCCCTTATTTCCCAAATAATCTTTGCCACCTTCATCTGTGTTTTAGAATGTAAACATGTACATTATTAAGTTGCTTCCCTCAAAAAAAATATTCAGGAAGAGTCTTCTGTGCCAGTATTTCATCTAGCAGAAATTTATGAACTAAAAAATGAGTAGCTAGGAAGGAAGTACAACTTGGAGAATTCTTGCCCAGTTCTGTGTTGGTGTATTCAATATGTACTTCCTACTACTATTTGCCAACTAACTGAGAACCACAATCCATGCACACAAATGAGGGCTTTACAAGGGGAGAAAATAAGCCACATTACATGTTATAATCATGTAGGCTGAGAGGGGCATTTTGCATCTATCAAAAGTTATGGATAAGGTTGGGGTTGTGTGTGGCTCAGTGGCAGAGAATTTGGCTAGTATGCATGAGGTACTGGAATTGATCCTCAGCACTACAGAAAAAAACGAAATAAACAAAATAAAGATATTGTGTCCATCTACAACTAAAAATATTTTTTAAAGTTATGGATAAAATGTGAACCCCCTAAAGCTGCAAGATGACTTCTTTTTTTTGGGTACTGGGGATTGAACCCAGGGATGCTTAACCACTGAGTCACATCCCCAGTTCTTTTTCATATTTTATTTAGAAGCAGGGTCTCACTGAGTTGCTTAGGGCCTCACTAAGTTGCTGAGGCTGGCTGTGAACTTGGTATCCTCCTGCCTCAGCCTCCTGAGCCACTGGGATTACAGGCATGTGCCACCATGCCTGGCATAAGATGATTTCTTAATATGACCTTGAACAGTTGTAATCTTCATTATATCTACTGTTAACATCTTACTTCTTAAGTTAACAGAACTTTTAACGCATGTGCCTGCTTGGGTAAGAATCAACGCATTGAACATTGTACCTGATGAAGGTGTTTGAATGGTCATTTTCTCACAAGGCCAACACAGATACACTCTGTATAAAAGTCAGCTCTTCTGCCAGCTTCATAAATGTGTTCTGCTGAGCAGCAGACTGTCTCCCATCCCACCACCCAACTCCCTAGCACCAAACTTTAACTACCAGCATCACAAAGCCCAAATAAATGACAACACACTAGATAAATCTAGCTGGATTGCAGCCTATTACAATGCAAGATAGAACAAAATGTGATTAATTTATTTTGTTTTCTTTATTTTTTTATTTCCTTCCCTATAGGAGGGAACTATTTAATGGAAAGGTGAAGAAGCTTTCTTTTCCATGCCTTCAAGCCTGCATAGAACAATATATTGATAAAATTTTTTAGTTTATTCCACAGGATCACAGTACAATTTAACTCATAATTGCCTCCAGTGCAGTAAGAGTTTATATGAAAGTTCTGGTTTTCAACCAGGTACACATCTGTCAGCCTATGGAAAATCTTTACTAATTAAATAACATTGAGATTGAACCACTCTAGTGGAAATCAATAAGTGGTAGCTGAGCTGTGAGTCAAAAGAGACAGATTAGTCAGCGGAACAATGTGTAGGCAAAAAGAGAGAGGAGAACAAAGGGTTTTATTTCCTAAACTCTACACACTGAATGCAGATATTTAAAAATGCTTTGCACCTCGGAATTTAAAACATGCCTGTGTGGTACATATGAAAACTTAAGATAAGGACAATGACATCCACCACAATAGAAAACGTCTCTGGGGCTCAATCTAACCATGTGTAAAATAAGGAAACTATAGGCCCGATAATCTCTAAAAGTAATAAGCAGATCAAGTTTTATGCCCATGGTAAGAACCTAAAAGGGTACAAGACAAAACAAACATCTCTACCAGACTTTTGAAAACAGATAAAAAGTATTCTTGAAATGATCACACATCCAACCCACCAAAAAAAGGGGGGGGAGGGGTGTATAGGTCAATTAACAAGTCTCAAAAACAAAATCACTTTTTATCTTAGCAATATGGCCAAAATATTTCTCTGAGGACTTTTCTCTCCTTGATGTCTCATTCTAGCATAATCTATAATACTATGTTGTTATTGCAGCTACCAAGAAATCTAAATGTCAGTGGTCACAAATAGGAAGATGGCCACATATGTTTCTCATGAGACTTGTGATATAGTGTAGAAACAGGAGCAAAGCAGATAAATGTTTGCAGTTGAGCTGTTGAGCAATGATTCTGGACATTTTCCACAAAGTACAGGGGAATCCAAGGAAAAGCTGTCACCAAGGTACGGTGAGGCATCAATAATAAGGAATTAGATGTTTCCCTGTGTCCAGACCAATGGGACATCCACAAGGCTTTACCAGGGTCTCACTGTGACCAGCATGACAGGAATTAAGAGGAACAGAAAAAAAAATTAATATTCCTCATCAGGTGAAAACCAGATTCCATTTTACAAGTATGTTACTTTAGGATGAATCATTTCTTCATCTTCTTGGGACTTGGAAGAAACTCCTCAGATGGACATATGTGTCTCCCAACTAAACTTTTATTAATTTAAAATTAAGATTAGGCTTTGGTTGAAGGCCACAGCACAGTTCTAAGGAAATTTCAACATGGAATAGAGTAGAAACAGGATTTCTGTTTGCAATCCACACTTTACATGGTAATTCATGATCTTTGATTACACTAAGGGTCACATTTCCCTACTGTGTAGACTTAGCACCCAGGAGGCCAGCATGCTTTCAGGAGACAACCAAAACTGCTTCTTGGATTAATGATGGCATTCAGTGGGAAAATCTGTGAATTTTTTAAATGAAAATATTTAATCTCTAATCACCTTGATTCTGAAGCAGTGTCCTGTCTAGTACAACAGGAAAATAAGGAATGTATTAGCAGAGAGATATATGTCCAAAATCAGAACTTAGAATAAAAATACATTTCCTTAAGTCATCAATAAGGTTACTCCAATAAATAAACTGTAATGAACAGTTATGCGATTTTTATCAATGAATACAAGAGAACAATAAAACCAAAACCGTACCACAAGCACTTCAGCAAAAAAACCTTATTTTCTCATGAAAAGCTTTTTAAGTAAATAAAAGTAATGACTGTCACTCTAAAAAATTATCATTTACTTTTGACCAATGAATCGTAATACAAGTAATTTTTTAAAATACAAGCTTAAAACCTTAGAAGCAGTTATAAGGAGTAATAAAGATGCCTGTTGATAGAAAGAATATATATGTCATAAAAATATATCACCATACAAAATTATAATTTAATCACTGGATAATAAAATGTTGAATTTTCAAAAATTAATTCAAAGTCTGATAAAACAAAAATATATGCTTATTCCCTTCCCTCTATCATTTCAATTTCATGCAAATTGATCTACTAGCCAACAAACCATGATATTAAAAAGATCTTGGCTCCTCCTGCTCAGCAGAAATTCAGGACAGTGGTCCTAAAGAAGTATGCCTAACTTGAATTTAAAATTACAAGTAAGTATTCTTTTAAAAGAGTAATAGTATTGCTAGGCCACATCCTACCCTATCCTATTCCCTACTTGGTTATACATATTTAGAAATCCATTTTATGCAAAAAAGATATTAGGTACCAAGTGACAAGCAAATTACAATTTGTAGTATTATGAATCTCCTCCTCTCCCTATTCTGAATAGCTCCAGAAATCATGGTAACTGTGTATACATGATGTTCACTCTGAAACAAGTGGCAATGTGAGATGCACAATTCAAAAAACACTGGATCAAACCAAGCTCTTGAATATCTTTGTTTTTGGGAAATACACCCTCCTCAAGTATCAAGAGTAAAAGACACGATACACGCAACCTATTCACAAATGGCTCAAAATGAAGCAATATGTATGTGCATATAATGCAGAAATAGATATGTACCTGGACAAAGAGAATGACACAGAAATGTAGCAAAATATCAAAATGGATTAATCTAGATAAAGGATTAAAAGGAATCCTCTATTTTTGTAACTTTTCTATAAATCTGAAATTATTTCAAAATACAAACATAAAGTCACTCTCTCCAAGACTGCAACTATGTCTAAGTCACCACTAGTTAAAATAACCTAAGCGTGCATTATGTCCAATAATTTTATCACTGTGTAGGTATTCACCAATAATACATATATACAATAAATGATACATAGATAACAGTTAAGGTAGAACTCTTTTCAAAAGCAAAGCCTAGAAACAACCAAATGTCCATTCAAAAGAGCATGAATAAACTGTGATCTATTAAATGAAATACTATACAGTATTAAAAATGAATAAAGTACACATAAAAACAGGAATGAACCTCACAATCTGAAGTCAGTAAAAGAAGCCAAATAAAAAAAGGAACAGATAATGTATCATTCCAATTATATAACACTCAAAACTAGACAGAACTAACCTATGATATATGAGGCCAGCATAATGGTGACAGGATGGGAAGAAGAGAGTGGCACTGCAAGCCTTCTGCTTATAGCCCGGGCAGTGGTGACGTAGGAGTGTCACTGGAAATCCACTGAGCTGTATACTTAGGATCAGTGCACTTTTCAGTGAAAGTGTTTTCATGTTGTAAGTATACTTTTGGCCTACTGATTCTATGATGTCAAATTAAACGAATGTAGAAAAGTGTAAAAGAAAAAAAAAAGAACTACTCTCTGGTTTTTAGAATTTCTCATAACCAAGAAAAACATTTAATAGAGTAGAAAACAGAATGTTAGATCCTGCAAATTGAAAAGGTCTCTGTATTTTAAACATTACCCTTCAAATAAAATAGCTACTAAAAGGTGAAGTTTTTCAACCTAACACTAAATCCTTCTGTTAGGACTGAGGTATCAAGGGCTCTGGAACACTAGCAGCAATAATACTACACAGGCCTAAGAAGGAATTCCTGAAAACAAATACACAACCTTATTAAACAATATAAGCAATATTTTAAAAAGTAAGCCACTTCTTTTGTACTCTATGTTCTATTTATAGTAGACTTTTGACCTTCCCAAAGGCTATCTCTAATTGTTACTTTGTAGGAAAGAAACAAGGATTCTTGTATGCTCTCTTTAACTAGTATAACAATAAGAAACTGAAACAAGGTTTGATGGTTCCATTCTTACTAGTACGTGGTATTATGATAAACTTAGATTTTTATGCACGTACAGTCTTGGTTCTTTAAATTCATTGCATATTCCATATATATTATACTATTTTTTTTGGTAGTGCTGGGATTGAACCCAGGGCCTTGTAAGCTCTGTGCTAATTCAGAGCAAACTTCAGATTCATAATTATATAATCCAAATTAATTATCTTTCTTAGAGTGAAAAAAATTGCCACTCAGGAAAAAGATAATCAGAAATAATTCAAGTATTAGTCTAATTTAACCAGCTAATGAGGGTTATCTAGTTATAGTGCTAGCTTTTAGAATATTCTAAGTCTAAATTAAAATAGGCCAAAAGAATATTCAAGAAGATTTTAGTGACACCAAGCCTAGCTAAAGCATGCATTCCTCTCCTAGACTACAAAAATTGCCAATTACCAAACAACTAAAAGCAAACCCAAATGTCCATCAGCAAGAAGGTAGATAACTCTGATGTATCAAATAGAATACTATTTATTGATGAAAAAAAAAAAACCATGTGAACCAAACTAAATCAAAAAGGAATGCATCTCACAGACTGCTTAGGTCAACAATAACCCCTTTAAAGGGTACTCTTACCCCACCACATTCCAGAGCTGTGCAACACTTCACTAAGAATTCGAATGACTGGTATAATTTCACGTATTTATTTCCATTTTTATAAAGGAGGCAATTCTCCAAGAATAACCACATCTAATTTTGCATAGCTAAAAGAGCAAGCAACAAGTTTTAACAGGCTACACGTTTTCTCTATTGGGGACAAATATGAAACAAAACAGAATAGCTACAAGATTGAAGAGATCCCTTATGCTAGTTCAGAGCTGCTATCAACATGATCCTGTATCCATTTATTTGATGTACATTAAGTTTCAGAAAGTTAAGTCTGTCATTGAAAAATCAAAAAAGTACCTAAGAAATATTCTACATACTTAGAACTTAAGACATACTTCACTTAAACCTTTAGTCTAATTCAATCAGTGGCTTTTGGGTTCTATGAAACATATCCAGAGAGCTTAAAAAAAAAAAAAAAGAAAGAAAAAAGCATGATCGGTCCAAGTTTACTTAGTATGTGTTAGCACCAGGTCTTGTTCCAAACAATACAAAGTTTAGACTCCGGGCTCCAAGGCAAAGAAATACAAATAATTTCTTTAAAAATTAATTTAAAAAGACAATCACGTCATAAAAAGATTTGAAACTACTCATTTTTAAATTAATTGGAATTAAAGTCAACATATTAGAAACAGATTAGAACAAGCACACAGAAGGATGCATAAATGTCACTCCAAAATTAATCAGCCACTTTTTAGTAACTTATCAGTATATCACTGCAGAAAATTTTGCTTTGCAAACAGAGGACACTGATCTCACCTGATTTCATTTTCATATTGTGGGGACAGTCTACCTGAATTCTGGTAAAAGCTTTTCAGGAAAGAGGGGGCAGTGAAGGAAGGGGCAGAGAAGGAAGTGTGAAGACTTGGAAGACTGGAGGAAGAATTATTCTCCTTGTGCATACGTCGAACTGGTGGAAGAATGCTGAGTACAGAAAATACAGCAAATTTGTCTTAATTTATATTTTGGCAAAATCTTCATTCACTATGAAAAAGCATATAAACAGGTTCTTGCTATTAATTTAACCTTTCCTTTAAAGGATCAGGGCTGAATCTTATACTCAAAAAAAGCATGCAGTTCTCCGTTGAGGTGACCGGGCTTGAACTATCACTCTCGCACGAATTGAATTCCTCATTTATGCAGTATCTCTATCCATCAGTGTTCATCTCCTTAAAAATTCTTAATAATTTTAGGATAAAAATTGCTTGTCTTTACATGCAAAAGATAATTCAAGGGGAAAAACTAGGGAAGTGCAAATAATTACAGGAAAACAAGGTACAGAATGAAAAACTGATTATGAGCAGTTCAAAAACTATTTTAAAGATCTAAACCCTTCTAACTAACTCTTTGACAGCAACATGCCTGCTTGTTGGAAGTCACCGTAATACCTCTGGCTTAACAAAGATTAATGGCTGTGCTCTCTCCTGAAGCCTGTGAAATGGTGCCACCATGGTTCAATCCAGAGCCCTAAATCTCCCATATAGCTCTTTTTCCTTTTTATAGATATGTACCTGGACATATTATAGACAATAATTTGTGTGGTAAGTTTTTTATAAGGACATAAATGACATCTTTTTATATTGATAGAAATTATTTGAACTTATACATTACAAATTGTGCAAAAGCATGAGGGAAGCACTGAGATATCATTTATAGTCTAAAACAACTGATGGTTTTAATTCTTAAAAATAATTGTTCCTGCAGCTGTAGCTCAGTGGTAGAGCACTTGCCTAGCATGTGTGAGGCACTAGGTTGATCTGATCCTTAGTACCAAACAAAAATAAATAAATAAAATAAAGGTATACAAAATACAATAACACTTTTAAAAAGTAATTATTTCTGGGTGGGGGGGAAGAGATTTACTATGTTGGGTAAATACAAAATTATAAATAATCATTTTTTTAAAAATCGTGGTTGCCTATGAATACTTAATCTCTTTCACACACAAAACAAACTGAAGACAAATGTTTGTTCATACCATAATACCTAATTTGTAGATTTTGAAATCATTCAGAAAACAACAAGAATAAAACTGTTACCTTAAAAACATGCTAGTAAATCTGATAACATTGGCTATCAAGTATTAGCCTTTCTGGAATTTTTACTTCAAGTTTTATTTTTTTTTCCAACTGGCAAATGGCAATCAACTTTATTTTTTTGTATCAAACTCACAGGTAAAGAAGAGAAACTAAATTATTTCTAAGATATAAATTGGGATCTATTGTACACAGCAAGAAATAGAATCATTTCTAGGTTTATTCCTTTTACTACATCTTACCAAATAACAAACAATTTTATTAAATTATTTTTTTAAATACCACCTAAGATAATTTCTAATGGCCACTGACTATAATTAGGGTATATTTAGTCTTCTTTCTAATATTGCTTTAGTTTCGATAAAATTTGTAGTGCTTTTCATATTTAGCTTTATTTAACCAAAAATTATCTCATGTATGAAGGTAATTTAAGTGACTTTTTTTAAAACCTGGAATTTTACTGTAGGCCAACAGGAAATTCTACGGCTCTGTTATATTTAAATTTGCTGACTTTGCTTATTGACAGCCCTCATTAAGAAGAACACTGAGTAATATGTGTTGTCAGTAAGTTTTCAGACAAAACAACTGCATGATATCGTGTTTTCTCTATTTTTCTTGGGAGAAAAAAAAAGTTCTCATCCATATGAAATGAGTGCATTAACTCTTTTCTATGAATACACTTTGACCTTGACCCACTTCCCTTAATCACCAAGGTAAAGAAATTCAGTTTATTTTTATGTTCTTTCTAAAAACTGAAAAGTTGGCTAGAGCAGGAAGTCACAATGGACCCAGACTCCACAGTGACCTGTCACCCAGGGTGACGTGGGAATCTGATTTCACGTTGTGGGGAGAGGCCTGACTTACCTGCACTGCTCGCTGGAGCTCTGCCTCAGCAGAGGGGAGCGCACCCCAGGAGCCCTCCCATTCTGCAAATTCAGCTTTCTCTTGGTGCTTGAAGGAGGGTGGCTGAACGTGTGAGCCCGTCTTCGAAACTGTGGGGAGTCAGAATCCTCCTCGGGGAACGCTTGCCAAGCAGAGGACAGCGGAGAGGCTGGTGGTGTCCCTGGAGGAGAGTCCCCTGGCGAGTAGTCCTGAAATGCAAGCACAAGGGGTCTCTCTTCCTACCAGGTTCGCAGTGGACCTGCAGAAGATCAGGGCTCAATGGGGACAGGGTGCCTCCTCTTCTTCCTGAGTCATGACAAAACTATTTTTTTTTCTTTTTTACTCAATCCCTGGTGAAGGCTAATCAGTCTCACCACAGCCCACTTCTGATAAGCAGCTGTAAGACAGCATCCGAAAGATAGGCCAGAAAGTGAAAGGGATCAGAAAAGGTATTCTTTCCCCTGACTCGGTGGTGAAATGCTACAGCTACTGTGCTTTCCTCACTGCTGTTGGGGAGATGAAAAGAGACCATGACCAAATGAGGGTGGAGTCTGTGTTAACCCATCTCCTAATTTCCGTGGCATATCGCTGCACGCTTCCTGTACTGTCAAAATGATATCACAATGCCTAAGTGTCCAAGTCTCGTGGCAAAGCCTGAGGGAAAATAAAATCAAGCCTGGTATCTTCCTTCACTTCTGGATGTTTCTATTCAACTCCATGTTCCCGGAGGTAAAGTTCTTTTAAAAGACACAAAAACAGGAAATGAAAGAAAGGCGAGCTGAGCTGGAATGTGTCTCCTGTTGCATGAATAGATACCATAAATCTTTCAATTCAGTCAGGTATGCATACTTTCCAGAAGAGGCACCACTGTAAAAATGTTTCATTTGATAAACCTGGGTTAGGGACAACAGAGGCATATGTAGTCAGACTAAGTCCTCAAACTCCATCAACAAAAAGTTTAATAAAAATATTTAAACATTTTTTCCATTAAAGAAAGGTTGCCTATGCCTCGGGTTACATGTTACACAATGCAGAAAACAGGAAACCAAACCTGGGGGGAGTTATCTGTGAGGTAGAAGAGAGGATAAAGTTGCAGCTGAAATGATAAAACAGGAAGAAAATAGTAATATGGGAAGAGAACAACACAACAATCAAAAAAAATCACTGTACAAGTATAGCAATTAGATGGCTGGTTTTCTATGGCTCTGGATTAATTGTTGCTCAAACACTGTCCCCCAAAGCATACTACCTACAAAAAGTAACAAATCTGTGAGAACAAGATCTGCAATTCAAGACCATGTGTTCCAGCAGAAGGCTTCTCTGAACAAAGACCAGCATGTTTACAGCCAGGCCCTACTTATTTAAAATAACAAAACCTCAATGTTTATCTTTTGAAAGCCATAAAGAACTCATAATAAAATAACGAGGCAGGCATATTATGATATTGGTGTTGGTTTTTACTAAATTGCAATTTGGGGTAAACAAAGGAGATCCGATTAGATACCTTCTCCGAAGCAAGACTGTTAGACCTTTCAAAGCTGTCCATACTTCCAAGCCGACCTCTCATCCTGTTAGCTCCCTGAGTGAAGAGAATAAAATTAACTCCTTATACAGCTTGGATGTTTATTTCAAAACTATAGAAGGCAATTCGAGGTCGCCTTCCCACCATGTGAGCATTAAATCGATCCATTTGTGGTTCTCTCAAACTTTTGAGCTATTTTAACATCCATGATAGCAGGATAAACAGAAACAGCCCCCATTCCCATTATTTCTTAATCAACTATTAGAGAACAAGAGACTCAGATCAAGCTTTTTGAACTCTTTTGGTTACAAGGTTAAACATTATTCATCTATGAGATCAGTGAGAACTCCTGTAACTCTGAATCTCATACAGATAAAACACAAATGTGGAGGGTAGAGCAAAAGCCAGAAAAGTTACAAAGATCAAGTTTAATACATACATTGTCCACACCACATGTTACAGTCCTTAAGCTCCACATTATAAGATTATAACAGGTTCTAAGAAATAGAAAAAGGGACTTTCAAAATTTATTAATTTTGCTTTATTCACTATTCCATAATGCAAAACTACTTCGGTAAGTCATTTCATTCCAGAAGATTAGGTATCAGCCAGCTTCAATATTAGCAAACTGATTCTTGACCTTTCCATGTGGTGTGAATTTCAAAGATAATCTAGAAAAGAGATCTGACCAATCGTTTTGTCTCATCCCCTCACTTTACATAGGAAGAAACTGCAGCTAACTAATGAAGGAAAGAGAATACAAAGGCAGGTTGAGCCACATCCTTCAGAAGGTCTTAAGAGACACAGCACAGACTGAGGAGTTCTGTAAACTCCTGCAACACACCAAAAAGTTCTAACAGGAATGACCGGGAAGTACAAGCCAGGCTGATGTGACAGTGATTCTATAAAATAAAAGCATGCACAACATCTGCACAGTGCTTCACAGTTTTAAAGGATCTCCACACATACCTTGGTTTAATTTGGGAGACAGAGAAGACTAAATTTAATTTCAATTTTTTAATGTTTTTTTAATTGTAGATGTACACGATACCTTTATTTTATTTGTTTATTTATTTATTTATTTATTTATTTATTTATTAATTTGGATTGAACCCATACATGTGGATTGCCTCATACATGCTAGGCAAGTACTCTACCACTGAGCCACAATCCTGGCCCATCATTTTAATTTTTAATCAAAGTAATAACCTGCCCAAAGTTTCCAAAGTCAAATTGTACTGCCAAAGCTTGTAATAAAAACTGGAGACCACCAACCCCTTCTCCACACTTTCAGTCTCACTCCCCAAAGCAAATCTTAAATTATTTATACTGATGCTTCTGATGTTCAGCTCATAATACTATTTTTGAGTCTTTCCAGTTTAGGCACTACATATTAATGAAAAGTTAATACTCTTACTTCATTCCCCACCCACTCTAAACACACACATACACACACTTCTCTCTTGCCTTTCTCCCTCAATATAGTTACAACACATATCAGTTGAATCAGTATTTTGTGCTTAAATTATTATGATTTTTAAACACTATTTGCAGATAAGCTACATATTTACTATAATTACATTTGATTATATCTCATGTCTTGTACACTCTATTTCTCACGGAGTTAATGACTGCTCAGAAATCACAAATTTATTGTAAAACTCTCCAGCAGATCGGGATTTAATCACTCATCACATAATTCATTAATTATAGGGTTTTTTTCCCTTTATCTCTGAACTACTTATTATAGAAACCCGTCTTCTTGCTGCAATCTGGCCCTGCATTACAGATCTTCCGAGCATTTTCTTCACTATCAGTGTAGAAATCTACTTTCACCTTCTATGTTTTAATTTCTGTCTCCTTGATCCCCTGTCTTTCTCTTTTTCAGTTTACTTCCTCATTTAGGTGGAGGACATTCTCCAGGTGTTTTCTGAGAAAAGGGAGACTGGGAGGTAATTTTAAGTTGCCTGTCTGTGAATGTCATTACTCTGTGCTTGTATTTCATTAACAGTTTGGCTGAATACATAATTCTGGTTGGAAATATTCCTTTATACCATGTTAGTATTGCTCAATGTCCTTCAGTTCAGAAGTCTAATGTCTTGGTCAATCTAAAGGCTGTGTGTATGCCCTGCTATTTCTTTTTGGAACAGAATCTAAGTTTACCCTTGGGAATTCTAAATTTCACAACTATGTGCCTTGGCATGACTTTTGTTCAGCTGTTCTAATGTGCACTCTCTGGGCCTATTAAATCTGGAAACTCATGTTCATTAGTTCTAAGAAAAAACTTAATTTCCTGCAGGCATGTTCTCTTTCTGGAGTTCCCAACTTTCAGTTTTTGGGTTTCCAGACTGATCCTTTAACTATTTAACCTTGTTCTATTTTTCACTACTTTTTTATTTCATTCTATCTTCTAAAAGATAATTTTCAACTCTAGTTTCCTAGACTTGTATTGAATTTTGCTTTTTATGTCACCTACAAGAAAAATTTAAGTGTTCTTTCTCGTTTTCAATTGGCTGCTTTATAATGATAGTATCCTATTTTATTTCATAGAAGCAATACTTATTCATCTATACTATGATAATTATAGTTTCTTTTCTTTTTCTTTTTTTGATGCTGAGGATCGAATTTAAGAATACTTTACCACTGAACCACATCGCTATTTCTTTTTTCTTTTCTTTTTCTTTCTTTCTTTCTTTTTTTTTTTTTTTTTTTGATAGAGGGTCTTGCTAAGGTGCTGAGGCTGACCTTGAACTTTCGATCCTCTTGCCTCAGTTATCCAAGTTGCTGGGATTACAGGTGTAAGCCATGGCACTAGGCCTAATTATAGTTTTCTATTTCTATAGGTACTCTATATAACAACTATGTCAATAATAAAATTCATAGCTTCATCTACTATTACTGAATACTTATCATGGGCCATATACTATGCAAACATTTCACACTGTATTAATTGTCTTATTTCATCTTCACAACAATTCTGTGAAGTAGGTATAGTTATTAGTTCAACTTCACAGACAAGGAGTCAAGTTCTGATAGATTCTATGGTCCACGTTCACACAGCCAGTTAAGAGCAGCAATGTGAACAGAGAAAGCTCCATTTCTGGGTGAAGCCCTTGAACTTCTTCTCAGTACTGACTCCCTAAGGTAGAACTTTATGAATGCAGAATCACAAATAAAACTAACTTGCCTCGTCAGTTAAGTAGAATTTTACAAATACCCCAAAATCTTATCAAGTTCTCTCAGTTCTTCAGTTCTATGCTATAACTAACATACTTTTAATAATGAACTGTATTTGTGGCTAATAAATTACTGGGTGAGTTGTGTAACCAAGAGGACAGTACAGTAAACATCAAGTTGCTCTCTGCTATTTTTAGCCAGTACTTATACACCCAACTTGTCTGATATCTCAAACATGTCACTTGGTCACAACAGAGAAAGTAGTCATGGGTACCAAGCCATTTCCAGTACTAGAAAAGCAATTTAAATCACATATTTTACTCATTAAGGTATTTTATCCATATGTGTGTGTGTTGTTTTTGCACAAAGAAATAAGCATACTTTAAGATCATTCTCTATGACTGTTACTAATTCACTCGTTCCTACCAGAAGACCATGGACACTACTCTGAAGAAAGCATGAAATAAGGACGGTTTTCAAAATGACTCACACAATATATTAAGTATTTCCATTTTAGAAAATTTCAACTTATGAAACAGCAACAAACAACAGAACCCCAAGACTCTGTCCTTTACCTTTGAACAGACAGCTCTTGCAATTTTACTCTATTATGATTTGGTAATTCATTTGTTGTGCCCTTTCCCTCAGACCCACTTTTTAATACTAATGAACTAAGCTTCTAAGCATTTAAAAAAAAATGGATCCTATTGCATAAACACCTATAGTCAGCTAAGTAAAATATTTTGCCACGTAAAAATGGCAGGCCATGATGAGCTCAACTCCATGACTGGAGTGTGACTCTTCTGCTATAAAACTCAGGGGTGGGGATGTCAAGTTGTAGGACACAAAACCCCTTTTGTTACATACCATTTAATACAACAAGAAAAAAAAATGCCAGCCTTCCTAACAAGGCCTTTCTGCAGCACATGATGCAAGCGAGACCTTGTTACTTCACAAAATTTATGGCATTTGGCATGGCTTTGGAACACAAAAGCTACAGTATCCACCTTGACCAAAATAGAATGGCTGTGCCCTTGCTGAGAGAGTCACCACAGCAATTCAAGGTATGCAGAGGAGACACTTCAAAGGCGGCCATGCAAGTACTGTGCAGGATGCCAGGGTACTAAACGGAGATAAAGAGAACAACGCTCTAAATACCCTTTTGCTATTTTGTAAATGACAGAGTTTTAGAGCTAATCACTGAATATACCACCTCAGATGTATAGTGTCATTTTTTTCCCAATATACTGACACTTAATCCTCATGATAAAGTAAGCCAGGATTACTACACACATTTTACAAATGGTGAAACTATGGCTTAGAAAAGGGAAATAAATGCAAATTCGTAAACATAAGCCTGCTAGGGTGGGGTCTTGCCTTCAGGTCCCTTGATCACCTACTTAAATTATCTTTCTAATAAAATTCTTAAGAAACACTGTGTTAAATTCTGGTAGCTGATGTTAGTGAATGCTGATTCCTTATTTAGAATGTTAATATCTTAAGAATTAGACTTGTCTAGAATAGCAGCTTTCAAACTTTGCTGGGCATCAAGATGACTTGAAGGGCTAAACATCTGTTACTGGACCCAACTCTAGAAATTCTGATAAAGAAGGCCAGGACTTATATACCTAAGAAGTTCCAAGATGATACTAATGCTGCTTATGTGTGACAATACTTTAAAAACAAATGGCCAAAACCATGAAAAATTAAAATAAAAATAAAAGTCATAAGGCATCCTCTAAAAAAAAAACAACAAAAAAACAAAAACCAACAAACACAAATGGCCATCCTAGAGCACAGACAATCACAAATAGTGAGTTAAGTTGCAAAACAAAGAGAGTACATCAGAATCAATCATAGAACTTCTAAATTAGGTGCCG